TGCTGGAAATTATTTTTTTTATTACTATTTCACTCACTCAAATATTGATGTTTAAACTTTTTATCTATATTGGGGTAATACAAATTATTCAGTTCAGTTAATATTCTGAGCTTTAAGTGTTCGCACGCGGTTTCTGAAGTTTAAAGTAAGGATCAAGGAATTGTTTTTTTTTGTGACTTTAATATTTCATAAGTGGACATGGATGTTGTTTAAATTTTCTTTTATCTTTTAATTTCCAAACTTACAGCATTTAATAAATGCTTTAAAAAATAGTTTGTGAATTGTTTTGTGGATTTAAATTAATTTGCGAATTTTTTAAGGAATACAAATCATTTTGAGGAACAAAAATAAAATAGTTCAGTGATGATTAATAAGATTTGAGAATTGTTGAATTTCGATTGATGATAAAATGCTTCAAAGATGCAATAAATAATTTATTTGAAAGAGTCAGGATTAATTGAACAATTATTGCGGATTCTTTGTGCATCATGGTCATCAATCATTGTCAAAATCATCAGCAATGGCTTCAAATTTTATAGTTGTTCTCAAAAAACGTGAATTAATAAATTATTTATAAAGTCTTTAAAGTTTATAAATCACACTTCTTCAGATTTAACTTGATTGTCAGTTGTGCAGTTGGGTTTAGGAGTCTGCGGCTGGTTTTTAAGGCTCCTTACTTTGGCTAAACTAATTTTATTTGTAGTCGACATTTTAATGCAAAAGTTTTTGATTCTTCAGTAGTAATTGACTTCAAATTCCTCAAATAAGACATTTTTAGTGAACGTCTGAATTTCTTTTACGATTTCCATTCGACTTAAGAGCTTAAAATAAAAATTCTGGATTTAGACTTAATTCAGACAACTTTAGACAATCTAAATATATATATCTCGGATAGCACAAGTCGGTTAATCAAATAGAAATCCTGCGGCTAGTCGACATGACTCTAACATGGTGCTGGTAGTCAATAAGCTCAATAAACTTTTGTAATCTAATTCCAGAAATTCAAATTAATTTAACTTTAAAAAATTAAATTAAACAAAATTATCCTGAGTAAGATTCATAGAAGAATGAACAATTTACAGGAACGAATAATTAATCATAATCCTTGTAAATAAAGACAATAACCTTTCTAGGAAATTTTAATATTTACAACATAATAGATTGAAATAAAAACTTTCAATGACTATTAAACTTCACAGTTGATAACCTTGTTGAAAAATGAAAGCATTTTACTAATATTCTCGATAGAAATGAATGAAAAGTCATTATGCTCTCCACTCATGTGTACAACAATAAGTAAAATAATGTTGAATATTTAATTTTTAAACATTTAGAATGTCGAAAATTATAAATTTAAATTTTTTTAAAACAAATTTTTGATAATTTAAAAAATAAAGCTTGTGATGAGTAATAAGTTGAGCTTTTTAAGTTGCAAAATTTAAACTTCAAATTTCCTAAAAGCAGTCATCGCAAAATTCTACAGTCGTAGACTTTAAAAAGTCGGTAAATTGCATTAGATAATATTATCTGTAAGATTAAGCTAGGTCATAATGACGATCCTATCATTTTTAAGATAAAGACACAAGTGACAATAAAATTTATCATTTTACATTATTTGCGCTAGTCGTGTAGAATTTATTCATAATTAAATATATCATAAAGATAAGGATTAGTATTCCCTTTAAATTACATAAATGTCATTAAAATTTTTAGAAATGCCAGGTTATGTCAAAGCTTCTATTTTCGTAGGTCATGGTTCTATAAAAATATATAAACAAAGTCATGAAAAAATATTGATAATGACCGAAATGGTTGTTGGCACTGACGGAAAATTAAGAGCTTTGTAGGGCATTTTTTACGCGCGATTGTCCGTCGCAGTTGAGAAGCTACAAATGATTTATTCTACATGATAATTTAATAACATTATTTTCACAATACATTATTTGATTATCGCTACTTATTCTTCATTTCTGATGGATATACTCTTTTTATCGCTATTTTACGACTCAATATTCTTAAAATGGCAATAACAAATTGCGTGTTATTGTAGTTTTTGATGCAATCTTCTTCATATGAAGTGTTATTTTTGACGACTATTCTAGAGAATCACAAACAAAGCAATTAATAAAGATAAAGACTTTCATCAACAGATAGACGAGTTCTAAAAGTTATAACGCAAAAAAAGTACATTTTTTCGGTAGGAAAAACAAATTTTTGACAACAAAATTGCTAGTCGTACACTAATAACTTTATCAAAAATGACATTCTACACCAAACGAGTAAGTTCTGAGAACTGATAATTTTCCGGATCATTTTTCACGATTTAAACACCAAAACATGATGTTTTTCTATGCTAATTAATCGTGACTTTATTTTAAAAAATTATATTAATTTACTTGATGCGCGCGAAGTACAAAACATTATTTTTTAAAGTGAAGTAATTTTTTTTTCGATTAAAAAATATTTGATCGACATAAGTAATTGTTTGCTTAAAAACAGCTGTTTATGAATGGGATATTTCTTATTATTTTTATTTTTATTTTGATGAAGTAATGTAGACATAGTAGTGTTCGTAGATCATATAGTAAGGCATTAAAATACAGCATTTTCAAGTGATGTCAAGATTAGTTTGGTTTTTCCAGCTAGTTGCGCTAGAAACAACTTCTGTTTGATATGTATCACTTTTGAAATTAAACTTTTGTACATAAGGTCATTTGGATATTGCAAAGCATTATAAAATTTGCAAAAATGTATCAAACGACTGACAGAGAATCTGAATCATCTTCTAGTTTCAATATTTTGATACGAACAATTTAAGGGTTTCGATCATTACAGTTTCCAAGAAAACTTGTGTAAATGTTTTATTTGTCTGTAATGTTCTTTAAAACAACGTTGTCCTAAATCTTTACCTCGAAGTAGGATTGATCATAAAGTGCCCAAAAGTCATAATTTTTATGGAATAATGATAAATAAACCGAGTTTGTTGGCCACAACAGTAAATCCAACTTATCATTACCTGATATTGAAGTCATAATCATTAAGCCACAGCTGCTTCTTGAATTCTTTACATAAATCGTACTAAGTTCAATCTCAATCATTCATCCTTTGCTTCATCATTGATCTATATAGTTTAGTAATTAACAAACATTGCTATCAATCACTATCTCCAAATTAGAACAAATAACAAGTATGAAAGAAACCCGATAAAACTTTATTAACCACAATTAAAACATTAAATGCCAAATTTTTAAACTATCATCTACTTTTACAATCCATTGTCTTGTTGAACGGCATTTCAAAAGAAAAAAGATTATTAAAAAAGTCCTCAACCATTCCTGATTCTCAATAATTGTCTTTTTATTTCAAGAAATCTAAACAACTTAAAGATAAGAACAACTTTTAATAAAAATCACACAATCACTTAGTCACAAGTTTGGTTTATCAAGAACTTTAAAAGACTGATAAATAAATTTCTTGGGAGAAATTACAAACTGCCCTAAATAAATGAAGTAAAATTTCTGAATAAATTGTTGTTATTTCCAGTTCAATATTGACAAGTGCCTACTCAATATCAAGAGTATTTCTGAAATAATTGAAGTTGATTTCAACCACAGTGTCTTGATGATGGAATTAAAATTTATTATTCTAGACTTAGTATTTAAAACTTTTGATTTTCGAAGATACTTTTATTTATGACATACTTGTTGTAATGTTAAGGGTGACTATAGGATCAGTATGCAATGAAAGGTTTTAATGTTTTGCAATTAATTTTTGTGGTTTGCAACTTTAGTGGTAAGCTATGACCTAAACTGCACGCAACACACGGTTTGTGGGTTTTCTTGAATTTTTTCAGCACATGGGTTGACCATCACTGACTTAAGTTTACTGCTTTTAAGTCTAGACATCTATAAGAAATAATCCATTTTATTATTAAAAATACAATATGGTCCTACTAATCAAGATTCAGTTACATCCTTAAACTACATTTTATTCAGATCTTGAATTCTAGTCAGATCCTTTTCAATTCTATAGATCTTAAATTCTAGTCAGATTCTTTTTCAATTCTACAAAAATAAACCTTCATCAAGTTCACTTATGGTTATCCTAAATCTTAAAGTTTCTTCTGAATATATATCTAAGTATCATCAAATTGTGACTTTCAAAACTTCTTAATAACAATTTAAGAAAATGAAAGCACATCAGTAGTCAATTACTCTTGCATCACATTTCAATGAATCAATTAAAATTGAAAAGTTTTATCGATTTTATAAAGAAATTTTCAAGAATATTTCAAATTCAGTAAGAAGTTCTATGGCAACACATTTAAATGTCAACTTGATCTGCTTTTTTGTGTCTGAATAAAACCACTTTGCCATTTTTTTTGTTCTCTAGAATCTACTTGGCGCCTAATAGTTGGACAAAGACTTTTGAAAAATTATCATATAAGTTTAAGAAAACATTCACATTTAACATGAATCATTTAAAGATGATAGTAGGATGCGGCTGTAGCTGTATGCAAGGGAGGGATTAAAATAGAGTAGAACCCTTTGCAGTTTTGACCACGCCTCAATCTGAATAAACCTAAGATTAATACTTGTGTGTAAAAGTGTTGATCTTCTGCCGTAAAGTAGACTTTGACAACTTAGTGCCAAAAACCTTTAAAACCTGTTAAAATTTTCTAAAGATAACTTCTATGCTAGAAAATATTCGAGTCTCGTATTCAAAATTCTAAGAACTGACAAAAATCCAAAACATATCCAAACTATGTCCACTCGTGATTGGGAATTTCTTGCCTTGAATCTCCATAATCAAATTTATTTGTTTTTTCTATTTTCAGCACAAAGTGTAAAAGGAATGTTTACATCTCCTATGTGTTAATCACATAAGGAATAAAAGATTTGCCATAAACAAAAATTCTAAGCTCATTGTATAAGCTGAATAAATTTAAAATTTTTGATCGACTCAACGACATCAGGAAATAAAGGAACACACAAAACGAGATGGGGAAAAACGGCTCGTTTAATTTGGGATTTACCGCTTCAAGTGAGGTAGGTTAATCACAAAAACTTTTCAACTGGATATTATTCTGCGAAATGAATATTAAGTTTTTTGATTCTACTGAATGAATGGATTTGATTAAAAAGCTTGTAAATATTACATGTGACTTCGGATGACGCACTTTTTTGGAGATTCTGGATATTTGGTTGACTTATTGGATGTCATTAATTTTTTTTACAAAGATTGAGTCATTTGACTTTTTAATGAGAATTTAGCGCAGTGTTGTCCAAAATTTTTTGAGCTAGGCACACCTTAGGTAACCCATTACCAAAGTCGCACACAGCATGCGGCTCGCGTCATTTACAAAAAAAAATCTAAGGCACACCAGTGTACCGCGGCACACAGTTTGGACAACACTGATTTAGTGCATAAAATTAGATTCTATAAAGCCAAAATATCTCAATTTGAATATCATATTTCATATGAAGCATCAAGGTACACAAAACTTTTGTCAAGAGTCTCGTTCATCGACAAAAAGAAAAAAAATTGAATATCTTCTCATTTCAGTTCTAAAAGTCAAATTTATTTAAGAATTTCATAACATCAGAAAATCATAACATCAACAAAAACGAGTTCTTTGACTTCTCTTTCGATTTGTTTACGAACGTTGAAGTCTACAGTAATTCGTAGCTTTAACAAATGTTTCTTTTATTGCCAATTTTTTGCTAAGAATTTGTTTTTTGTTTTTGTTGTGTTTTTAGAGGTGAAATGAATGCCGAATTTGGACAAAACAAAAATCTGTGTCTACTCATTTTAAAAAACTCATTTACTTGAAGCTTTATTTCCACAACTCATAAATCTCACTTTTCTCGAGCTTCTCAAATCATCGAGATTAAGGAAAGCACGTTCGTAGATTTTCAGTTCCATTTCAAGTCACATGATTGTAATAAAAATAATTCCCAGATGTAATTTCAATGACTTATTCAGGGAATTCTTTTACATATAATAGCTTTCACACAATGAATAACTTAATTACAAAGTTTCAACTCTATTTGAAGCACTGGCAATGACGACAAAATTTCAAACTTTTTATATCATTCGCAACTAATGATTAATTCACACTCGTTACGCTCCAAAAATAAACATTGACAATTATAAAGTGTTATTATTTGATTTAATGACCTTACCAACATTAACAAACCAAGACATTTAAATAAAAATAATTTGATTGTTAAAAATTATAAGAGAATATTTGCTGATTGTAAATATTGGAGACATTCGTAAATGATGTTCAATTGTTGAGAGAAGTCAATTAAATTCAGACTAGCGCCACTTCGTAGTTCGTACTCTCAATATAGTTTTAAAGAACAAAAATTTTATTTGTTTGCATTTTTTTAACTGTCATATAAAATTTAAATTTTCGAAATTAATTTCGAAGTTTTTCGAAATAAAGTTTTGAATAAATTGAACAAAAATGGTCAAAACTCGGTTCAAATTTCGAAATTTTCGAAATCAATTTCGAATATTTTCGAAATAAAATGACGCCAGTTTGATTAAATTGAGCAAAAATGGTCAAAATTCAAGCAAATTGAATCAATGAGGATGAAGGGGTTCATTTCCAAAAAAATACATCTCTTGATCTGACGCTATTTGACTCTTTTCGAACGAGAAGTTCACAAAAGTCAATACACGTCATTTTTAAGCAACCCCTAAACAGTAGGAAGCTTTTTCATATCAAATTTCGCGGTTGTATTATTCAGTGTAGCAGTTAATCAAAACAATAATAATAGACAGAATGTGACTGATAATTAATGCTTATTTATCAACATTACAATAGTAATTTTGAGGTTAGGAGATTAAAATAAAAATTATTGTTACATAATCCAGTAATGATAATTATTCATTTGTAGAATTTAATTGAATTAGAGTTGCAATTTGTTTGAATCGAGTTAGTGTAGATTGATTTATATTCCGAATGTGTCAATGTAATATCGTGACTGCATTGTGCAAATGGTTGTTTTTATTGACAGCATTGTGATGATTTGATGAATTTATTTCTGGTGGGAACTGAAGTGCAACTTTCTTGAGAATTTTTGATTATTTTTTTGGCACACCTTGCTTCGTTTTGACAATCCTTGGTACGCATTTTTGAGGAATGATCCTTATCCTCCTTACTTACTTCTCAAGCCGTACGGATCAATTGTGATCCATGGCTTCCCTTAAATAGCGTCTGAAGCTGGCTCTTTCGCTGGTTACAGCTTGCCAATTACCAATTCCAATTGTAATACTGTTGCTGTCAACAGCTTCTCTTCAAGAGCTTTACGTGCTCTCATCTACAAAATCAGACCTAAGAACTTTATTAATGGAAGCTTCAACAGGTCTCCTAACAACATGACCCATAATTCTGCGTTTCTACTGCTCTTGTACAAGTCTCCTTCTTTTATTGGTCCAAATATAGTTCGTAGAACCATTCGCTCAAATACACCAATTTAGTTCTCATCTGCTATAGTCATGTTCCATGACTCAGAACGCCTGATCCTCCTTAGCCTGTTTGAACATGCTTTTGCATGACATTTAATCCATTCCAAATCATCACTCTCAAGTTTGGTTCGTTTAACAAAAATTTGAATCTGGCTTCAAGAATGATCATTGCTTATAAATTGTTGAATTCAACGTCTAAACCTTTGTTCTTCAGAAATGTGCATTTATTATTCATTGGTATTTCCTGACGCTTAGTTTTTTCACAGGAACAATTGGAAATAATGTCCATCAAGTAATTCAGAAGTTTCAAGTCGACTCTTTTTCCTTTTTTGTGACACAAAATTTACATTGACAACAAATCATCTCTATTAGGGCCATTCACTTATGACGTCCGACATTTAGGGGGGGGGGGGGGGAGGGGGTCTAGGATTTTGTGACAGTTCAAACAATGGAAATTTTTTTCTATAGAATTTTTGTGACAGAGGGGGGGGGGTCTAAAAATCAGGTTTTTTGATGGACGTCATAAGTAAACGATCCCTTTTGAAGTATATGAGGTCTTTTGTCTTTAGTTTTGAACATCTTTAGAGCCAGAGAGGGTTTTTTTGTATGAAAAAGAAAATTTCGAAGGATTTTTGGGACCACAAGCCTAGAGCATTCCTCAAAGTTCCAAAATTCTAAACATCACTAATAAATGAGCCTACAAAACAGTTTTTTTTTGTGGTGTGGCACTTATAAAGTTTCAATTATAATTCCTAATGACCATAAATGCAAAACTCTTTCAACAAATAAAATAAAATTTAATTGTGATTTAATTGCTGCCAATTTACGTTATGAATGCAAATAAAAATTTATGTCATATTTATTGAGGTTTATTTGATTGCGTATACCAAAAGCCTATCAATTCTCATAACTTTTATGCAATTAGTGATCAATTAATGCAATTCTTTCAAATCTATAACCATAGCAATTAATATTGGATGTAAATTTAACAAATGAGAGTAAATAAATAATTCATTAATTTCGACTACACAAACGCATTAAGTATGGTTTTAAAATATTGTGCATTGTTAATTCACAATTATTGAATTTTCCGCATTATCAGTTCGTAATGAGCTAAGTGTGAAAAATTATATGGAAAAATTTTCCCCAACCAATATGTGGGAGATGAGAGCCTACGTAAACGTGATAATGTAAATATGACATCCATATTAATTAATCACTCAAATAATTAACAGTTCTGTTCCAATTCATTTACTTTCATTCTCATGTGAGGCATTTGCTGCATTGCATTTTAATGTTCTGTGGACGGTTTGTTCTCAGTTTACAACAATGAATTGTTTAACTCACAGCTATTACGGCTACAGTGTTGTGTTTTTGTTTTATATTTAAGCTTTATCTTATGGCTCAATTCCAAGAAACAATTTGGCAGCCATTAAGAGCACAACATTTTTGATATTTTGGCTTCTGTTGTGCTCTCAATTGCTGCTTTATTATTGAGATAATGTGTTATAGTGTTCATTTTGGATGACTTAATGGTTTTTGGTTTCTTTGGATTAAGTGTCAAAATTAAGATTTCATGACTTTCGAACCGAAAATGGCAAAGAATAGTCACTATAGCACCACGACCTCACCATTTTGAGAATCATAATGACTAAAGGTTCCTTAACTGCTCACTAGCATACAGTGTAGCACTTGAAAAAATTAGAGATTCTTTAAACTGGATGTACATCTTAAATACCCAAAAAGATTGATCATTCCTAAAGATTTCTCAAGTACCTGAGTTCCAGTTTGTCACAAGTGTTCTCTATAGATAAGTAGTCGTTCGATAATTGCAAGAAGCTTTTAACCAAAAGGGGATCTTTTGTTTTTTGCTTAAAGTCATGTTATATGTCAGACACCAAACAGTATTGTACAATTAATAAAATTAAAATGTGCTTCTTTTTGTCAACAGCAGTCTTTTGTTGACTCAATTCACACTAAAATGCGCTTCGTTTACCGAATTAATCATCATAATGTGGAATGTTATCAAGCCCATTTCCCTCAAACTTTATTTCACCTACTTATCTCTTAAATGATAAAATTTAATTTATTGTTATTATTTTCTTTAGGACATAAAAGGAAAACAAAGTAATGGCGTTGCGAATGGTGATACTGAGAAAAATATAAATGCAATTAATGATAGTGACAATAAAAGTATATCCAAGAGCGAAAGCACCGGAAATATTGTGAATGAGGTAAGAAAAGACAGACTAATGGAATATTTGTGTATTTTGACTTGGTGTCTTTAGGCTGGTGTGTAGCTAGTAATGTTTCACTAGTCAAGGGAGTCAAGTCATAATTGGCAATCAGTGGACCATCAACAAAAAGCATTACCAGCCATTGATGCTTGAGGTTGACTTAAAGGCCACTGGACAGGGGCGAACCTCCTCCTGCCTTGTATCTAGCGTAAATAAAACAATCCGCTCTAGGTCAGACAGAAATTGACCCCACTCCCATTCCTAGCTACACTCCTGCCTTCAGCCTAAGCCTAATCACGTCATGAAATAAAAATAAATGATGAGATGTAAAGTCATCATTATCGTTATTTGCCCTGATAACGTGCTTCCAATATGACTAATTTTTCTATTAATATACATGATTATTACAAATTTATAGAAGGATCATCATGACTTTCATGAACATGGACCAAAACGTGCAACATGGGGTCATGGATTAGAATTTTTAATGAGTTGTATATCGCTCTCTGTTGGTTTGGGAAATATTTGGCGATTTCCATTCACGGCCTATGAAAATGGGGGTAAGGCTTTATGGTTGTAATCATGGATTAATTTACATACAATATGCTACAACTTTACATATTACAACGAACATTTAATTCCATTAATTTTAATCTTTTCCTCTTTCTCTCTCAGGCGGTGCTTTTCTGATTCCATAGTATGTATTATTAATATTCCAGTCGCAATGTCTAGCTATTCAATAACATCTGTTTACCCTGTTTTTAGCATTGTTGTTCTAATTCTGGTGGGAAAACCAATGTATTATTTTGAAATGATACTTGGACAATTTACATCGAAAGGAAGTGTCAAAGCATCCTCAACAATTCTCATCCTGAAAGGAGTTGCAATTGGACAACAGTTCGGTGTTTTAACTGTCGTCACTTACTATGTATCCTTAATCGCATTAACATTATTCTACATGATAAAAAGTTTCTCTGCCACACTCCCATGGAGTTATTGTTGGGACAGTTGGAGTGATGTGTCATGTGTACCAGCAGATCCAAAGCTACTTGATGGTGTCAATCGAACAAATGGAGTAAGCTCTTCAGAGCTTTATTATATGTGAGTGTTTACGATCGACAGACTTCCTTTTGTGTGATAATAAGCTTATTGCCACAAAGCATATAGAAAGCTTAAAGGTATATCCTCGAAAAATCCCTTTATTGTGACATTAACGCTATTACAATAGAAGAATCTCAATTCCTATAACAATACTAATTAAATGCTTATTCGACCTACAATATCTAGTCGTGAGGTTATAAAACAAAAGGACGACATAAGCGACGGATTAGGACTTCCTGACTGGCAATTAACATTATGGCTTCTTCTTGCCTGGGCTGTTGTATTCTTTGTGATAATGAAAGGAATTAAAAGCTCTGGAAAAATCTCTTACTTTTTGGCGATGTTTCCTTATGTTGTGTTGATTACTTTGCTTATTCGAGCTGCTACACTCAAAGGAACTTGGGATGGAATCAAATATTTCATTACACCGGATTTTGGAATGCTGCTGAATCCGAAGGTGAGAATTTTAAACTTTTTGAATTACTTTGTCTTAATTTACTGGCTTTGAAGCCTGAATATAGCAAGTCCATGTTCTTATGTGAAGCTTAGGTTACAATAAAATGTCTCGATCTAATTCAGTTGGAATCAATAAGTTTGGCCGATTCTGGAATCTAGCTTGTTGTTAATTTGAGGTTCTTTCATAGCTATTCAGCAAAAAGTAGCTTTTGAAGTTATACTTCCACATCTGCATCTCTTAGGTTATGTTATTTTTCTAGAATTTGTTAATCAATCTTCAGGATTTCATGAAAAATCATGTCAATTAAGTTTTCTAGACTTCATACGTAAATAACTTACTTAATTTAAGTGCTAAATGCTCATTATTGTTGACTTTCCATAAATAACAAACTTATTTTTAAAACTCATGTGTTAAATGATGTTAATAATCTTATTTCCTAAAAATACGCTCCAATAACGTCAATCTGAGTTCCGTGGAATTTTTAAAAGGAATTCGACCGACTTTATAAATGAAATAATTAAATATTTACCATAAGTAATGGAATCAACCTTACAAATTAACACCTTAATCCCATAAATTTTCCATTCATTAACACAGGTATGGTACAGTGCCATCACCCAACTGTTTTTCTCGTTGAGCGTCGGACAAGGAACTATTGTAAGTAAAGCTATGAAGTTAATGATAACCTAATTAATTTGCATTAACTTTCAGATCATGTTTTCATCATATAATCCCTTTGATCACAATATATACAGGTAAGGTTCTGTAGCAACCTCTAATCTTAGATAATTATTATCAAAAAGTTTGTTTTGAAGAATAATTCAATTAAAATTGAACTTTTCCCGCCTAGTTTCCAATATATCCAACTTTTTAATCAAATTAAATTTAAATATAAACAAATTTCAATTTAGAGATCAAAGAACAAACTTTCAAGAACACAACCAACCTTTTTGATATTGATTCCTTTTTTCTTTTCATTCCAATCGCAATAGAGATGCAATGATAGTAACAACAATGGACACATTCACAAGTTTACTCGGTGGATTTACCATTTTCGGTATTCTTGGAAATTTAGCATTCAATATTGGTGAAACAGATGTGAGCAAGGTCATAAAGAGCGGTGGAAGTGGTCTTGCATTTATTTCGTAAGTGTCATAAATTTGATTCCGTTGTTAATTTAAACATTTTTTTCCCTTATTTTTATGCTTGTTAAGATATCCGGAAGCAATTTCAAAGTTTGAGTATGTTTCGCAGGTAAATGGGACATAAACAAGTTGCTAAAACTTTTTCTGACAGTTTAAAATTAAATTTTACCTTCCAGCTTTTTGCTGTTCTCTTTTTCTTCATGCTGTTCACTCTTGGTGTTGGATCGGCTGTCGGCTTACAAAGTGCTATAAATACAAACTTAAAGGACATTTTTCCAAAATGTAAAAGTTGGTTGATGGCTGCAATTACTTGCAGTATTGGATTTTTAATTGGACTCGTCTATGTTACGCCCGGCGGACAGTGGATATTGAACTTGGGTATGTATATGGACGTTTGTAGTATTTTTCTCTTTGACAGTGTTGGTGCTGAGCTATCAAAAGTTATAAAGCTTGTTCACATATGATGTAGTTCAAATAAAGCCTTTAGGGGCTGTTCACTTATTACGTAACGCAAAAAAATGACTTCTTAGACCCCCCCCCCCCCCCCGCCTCGTAACAAAATTTGTATGAAAAAAAAATTTCCTTGTTTGAACCGTAACAAAATCTTAGACCCCCCTCCCCCTAAAAGCGTTGCGTAATAAGTGAATGGCCCCTTAATATGTGCGATGTAGCCAAAAGGATTAACATCATTTGTGAACAAATCGTTTAACTGTAAAACCCGAGTCCTAAAATAGTTTAAATTGATATACCATTCATACCTAACGTGAATTCTGCATTCACAGTTGATCACTTCGGAGGAACCTTCTTGATTTTCGCATTGGGAACTCTTCAAATAACAGCCGTCATGTGGATTTATGGAATGGAGAACTTCTGCTGGGATGTTGAGTTTATGTTAAAAAGAAAAGTCACTTTGTTCTGGAGAATTTGCTGGATGTTTGTCACGCCATTTCTGCTGATTGTTATCTTCATTTACTTTGTTGCCAGTTTAGAAAATCCAACATACATGAACCTTCAATTCCCATATCCCGTTCTCTTAGCAGGTTGGGCAATCTTCATTGTTGGAATGCTGCAAATTATTCTTTGGGCTGCATTCATAGTCATGAATGATCCTGATAAGCTTGAGTCATTTAAAGGACTATTTAGACAAAATCCAGAATGGGGTCCAAAATCTCCAAGAGTGTTTAAGGAATGGATGGAATATAAGAGCGAAAGACTACAACAACGACGAGAACAGTCAAATAATCATCCAAAACTTAAAAAGTTCTTTTGGATTGTACTCGGAAAGTATAATTAATAAGTTTTGTGCCTACCTATGTAATTAATTTATTTTGAGTAAGACTCTGTCAGTATTATGCAATAAAAGTTTACTATAAACAATTCTTTCTTTTATTTCGTTCCTCATTCCTTCATTTTTGCACAAGTTGTGTTCATTTTTTAAGTTGGTTCCTTCATTGGCAGTTCCATTCTTTTTGTTTTGGTCAATTTAAAGACATTTTGCCAATTATTGGTCCTCAAAAGGAACCAACTTTAATTGATTATTATTCTTACAAGTACATTTCATTCCTTATTTTTTTCCAGACTTTTCTTCTTCTCTTTTTGTTGTGAAATATAATTCTTTTATAAATACATAAATTAAGTTGTATTTCTAATGATCCATAATGTAGCAAGGCTATGGACAGCATGCAGCTTTTTAAGCACCAATCTTAGTTTTACTTTAATGTCCACGCCTTGGTAACATGTGTAATAAATTTAATCCAGCTAGTGCGGAAAGTCAGCGATAAAAATTAATTAAAATGAATTTTAAAATGAGCTTTCAAGAAGCTATTAGGCTGTCAAAAGCTCATTGGAAAATTGCAACGTTTTGGGTTTTAGATTTTTTTTTTTTTGGTATTAGAGGAAAATTTAAAAAATATAAAAAAGGTACAAAATTGTTGAATTTTTGTAAGGTATGATGATTTACAAGAGAACTTAGAGTTTTAACTCTCTATAGTTATGCAGTGGTGTCTAGTGCCTCCCCTAACCCCTCAAATGACAGATATAAAATTTTTGAATCTTACCTGAAATCTAGCTTGTTATAGTATGGACCAAATTGCATCTTCTTTGAGAATGTAGCAATATCAAGTGATCCGACAAGATTAAAATGTTCATGACATCAAAATTGTCCAGTTCCGGGGCATCTTTTCTAGTCGCAGTAATATTTCATTTGTTTGACATTAAGTTCCTTTGTGTAAACTGTTTCAAAATTTTCCACTCCTCCCTTACTAAAGGATTGAATCTTTACTCATACTCAATAACTCAAATAACCGGTTTTAATCACTGCTCCTACCCAACATCTTAAGAATAGAGATATTAGAATTTGTTTGCTATGCTTAAAGGTAGTCAACCTCGCAAAGTTTGTTTATTTTAATCATAAATCAACGTAAGAGGCACCTCATCTTCGTATTATATTCTTTTGGAAATCTGTTATCTATTTAATTCCCAGTTTTTGATTTCCCCAATTCTAAACGAGTTTGTCTTGTTCTATTAGACTCAAAAGTTAGAAGTTTCTGGTTTTTTGATGTGTATTTTGTGCTTTATTCCAAGAAACATTTGGTCTGCACAGCATTAACGTCCAGATTCTTTGGAATTTTCTATTTTGCCATTTCTGAATATCAAATTCATAAGATTTCTCAGAATTCGTATAAAACGAAGGTCTGACGAAATGTGGCATTTGCATGTAAAAGAGAGATTCCTAAGAATCCCAATTTTTGATCATTAATGATCCATTTACACACAAAAAAAAATCTCAGAACTTCAAAATCCCCCAAAAATCATCATACCTCAACATTTAGGTATATACAAAATAACTTTTTAACAAGTTCTGTATTTTAGACAATAAATAATTCGATGTAAATTAATTCATTTAGGTTGTTAATAAAGTTAACATTTAAAAATAAAATAAAATGAAGTAAAAAAATGCACAAAAAATTTAAATTACGGTCATAAAATGATTGCAAAGCTTTTTAACTCCAAGAGAACCATTTCAAATAGTTAATTAATTATTAAAATAAAAGTAGGGAAGTCTATCACATTCAAATCCAACCCATTGACTTTACACGAAAAAAATTCTGCCTTCTTCCTTTCCTCAGTTCTCATTAATTTTCACAGAATTCTTTACCTCATTCTCACGTCCCTATATTGAGACATAAATTGACTAAATTATTAACACAGAATTTTACTTCTATTATCAAACTACTTGACGCTCTCTCGTCCATGAATTATATTCATGATTTCTTCTTTTAATTTCCTGCCATCATTCTTCCACTTCCATTATTGGGATTTGTTGAACTAGTTGTTGTATTGCTGCTGATAGAGCTATGACTTGATTCACGTGATGCTGAATTACTTCTCCCTCGATGGGGTTGATGATGTAAAATTATATTTCGTGATGGTGTTGCACGGCGTGGCAGCAATTGCTCAAGATTCTAAATTTATAATAAAATAAATGGCAGGGGAAAAAATCATGAAAAATTGTTACAAATAAACATTTTTAATCTACTTTATTTTTCACAATTGTATTGTCTGCTTAGCTGTACAAAAGTTATGGGAATAAAATAAAATAAATTCATCCATTGTACTAAATTATTAAATTCAAATTCTTAAAAACCGTTAATGTTTGTGGTACTAGATTCAGATTTGAATTTCAAATCATCGTAATGAAAATCTAGTCCAAAACTATTAAAAACTAGTTTTGCATTTTTGTACTAGATTATATGTTTTGAATCTTAAAAGTTCGTTAATTTTTTGAATAATAGATTTTTTGAAATTGGAAAACTCGTTGGAAATTTAAACTTTAATTTTTATAACTAATTCTTTGACATTAAGTTACTGAATCACAGTAAAATGTCACTTTAAATAATTTTCATCTTAAACTAAATAATATTTAAGGGTACGTTCATAAATGACATCACAAAGTGAGGCAGTTGATAAGAATGAAGTCTAAAACAATTCAATATCTTCGAAAGTCACATTATGAACGGCCTTAAATAGGTACTTTTTAAATGTAAATTAAATTTCTCTAAACTGTTTAACATTAAAGTGCGTCACAGCCATCCATAATTAAAAAGTTTAAAATTTAATCATACCGGCACTTGCTCAATAGCCTCCTCGTTTGGCTTCTCAACTTCAGTCTTCACGTCTTGATTTATGACAATTTCATGGCACAACGGACACTAGAAGTAAAAATTTTTGTGTAAATTTAAATATTGCAGGACATAAAATCATAAAATTGTTACCTTATCTTGGACATAAAGCCACTTTCGCAAACATACACCGTGGAAATAATGCCGACAACGTGTAATTTTTGCTGATGTCATTTCTTGATAGCATATAGCACACACATCATCAAAATGCTGCAATTCCTCACTGGATGCGTCAGGCAGCGATGAAATTTTTTGTACGGCAGTTCTTCGCTTCATGTAAACTGACCATCCAGCTCTCGCCTCACACCAAATGTTGAAATATGAATGAATTAAGAGCATCAACGACCGAATGATGGATCCTAGAGTATTATTTTCTTCATGAATATATTTTATGTTTTTTTTTGAATCCAGAAAATATTTTTATGTAATTTATTTTTCAATAAGAGTACAATAGATTACAGGTAGGTTGGTGGTGAATAATGTACAGAAAAATATTTGAAAAAAAGGAAAAGTAAAAAATAAAAATTAAAAAATTAACAAAACATAAACTTGAAGGAAGAGAGTTTGTTTTTTTATTGTAATTAAAGAAGCTTCTAGGCTTCAAAATCATCAAAAGTTGTTTTGTTATGTGTACTGACAATGAGAATTGTTAATTAAACGAGTGACAATCAAATTAGAGCATGACTTGACATAAAAATATTAATCAGACAAAAAACGAGTTTAGATTTGGTCAAGATTGACAGACGATAGTGCATTAAAATCAAGAAGAGATTAAGTTTGGGCTGAAATTATTTTTGAATAGTAACAGTCAGAAAAAGTTTGAAAAATAACAGTCAATTTTTTAAAATATATTTTGACAGTTGTTTCATTTCAAATTATAATAGACCGTTATTTTTCAGAACTATTTTCGATCATTTACAGCTCTGTCCTGCACATTAGAGAGGCATATCAATTTATGGACAAACACACAATTATTCTCCTCAAGAAAATGCACTAAAATGTTAAAACAGACAGCAAAAAACGAACACAGAACTTAAAATTAATAATTAAATCTAATACACATGAAATTAAATGAAAGACAAGTTATGCAAAACAAATTGCATACAAGGTCAACGAGTGCGCTTATTAGGCGTGAAAATGAGTCAGTCAATGACCGAAGTGAAATCATAACTGAATGGAATTAAAAAATGAAAAGTATGGCCAAGAAGTTAGAAAATCATGAGCATTTTAAAAGTAAACCATTCACCAAAAACTTCCCGTTTGATTAGAACAGAAAAATAAAAAAATTAAGCATATTTTTGCAACGTTTCGAACTGGTTTTTCAAGACAGCTTTGGCATGTCAATGTTAATTTTCTAGCACCAAATCTACCGTTAAGTCTCAAAACGATGTTATTGGCGTCAATTATCTACGAAAATAGAGCGTAAAGGCATATAATTATTCATTTTCAAGGTCTCACGTGCTTACATTTTTTGCAGCATTAAGTCAATCTCTTTTTTTTTTCGTGCATCATCATCATCGAAATTTTTATAACCTTGATTTTACAAAGGTGTAAAAATAGACAGCCTTGAAAACATCACAACTAGTCATAAAAAACTTTTACCCATGCTTTGTGTATTCATAATATTTTGAATGTGAAGAAGTTGATTAATTGAAGTGTTTTGTATTTTTCATGGCATTATGATTATGAATTGTTAAACATTCATGCAAAAATCATGCTTCAACACTTTAATACGATTGAAAATCCGTTGAAAATTCAAATCTTACAAAAACCGTTAGAATTCAAATCTTACAAAACCGTTAAACACTCAAATCTTTCAAAACCGTTAAACACTCAAATCTTCATACAGTTAAAATTCGAATCTTACAAAAATCGCTTGAATTTAAAGCTTACAAAAACCGTTAAAAAGTCAAATATTACAAAACTGTTAAAATTTAAATCTTACAAAAACCGTTATAATTCAAATCTTACAAAACCGTTGAACACTCAAATCTTCTTACCGTTAAAATTCAAATCTTACAAAAATCGTTTGAATTTAAAGCTTACAAAAACCGTTAAAAAGTCAAATATTACAAAACTGTTAAAATTCAAATCTTACAAAAACCGTTAAAATTCAAATCTTACAAAACCGTTAAACACTCAAATCTTCACACCGTTAAAATTCAAATCTTACAAAAATCGTTTGAATTTAAAGCTTACAAAAACCGTTAAAAAGTCAAATATTACAAAACTGTTAAAATTCAAATCCTTCAAAAACCGTTCAAAATCAAATCTTAATTGATTTAATCACAAATCAGTTAAAACCCAACATAAATCTCTCATAAAAACTACAATCTATTCATACAACGTTATGTTTCTTTCCTCAAATTAATTTATTGTATAAATTATCAGATAAGCGCCTTTTGGTCAATAACCTCAAGTCAAGTGATTATTTAATATCAACAAACATGCCACAAAAAACAAACCAAATCGTTGTTATCAAAAATATGCTTATAAATTGATGTTTTGCCTCGAAAAAAAAAATAGAATTGATTCTTACCGGATTCAAATAATAATATCCAAGCGCCATTGAAGAAGAGAAAAATTCCAAAGCAGAATTCGACACTGTTCCCAAATGCTTTAATGTAATAAATGTAGTCGTCAAGTCTTTCCCAAAATATTTGTCGTTGTGCGTCAACTAAGAATAATGTGTAAGTCGCTAAGCTTACAAGTACCTAAAATAAAATTAAATTATAGTGATTAAATAGTTGTGGTGTATCCAAAAGCACAAATCAACTCACCTTAACGATAACTTCAATCGAAAAAACACTAACGGCGAGAAGCCATGTACTCGGCTGATGTCGAGACCATAAAATAATTAATAAAGCGACAGGTGCTAAAACAAGAAAAGCACAAACAAGTAAAGCTCTCGTGTGCCTTTTCCTCGATGGATTATGCGATGCTGAGAGGCTCATTAAAATCGGCGAGACCATATTATGCAGGAAGTGTAAAAGAGCAGTACTCAGTAAACACAAATTTCGACATAATCGTACAAATCGTTTGTCAGGCTGTAATGTCGTTAATCCAGTTTGTAATGATAATATGTAGAATAGTATAGCTGAAACAGTTCCAATAGACTTATCATCATCTTCCTCAGCCATTAAGAACATTTGAAATAATACACCAATATAGTGACATATAAAGCTTATGATTGATGTCATTCCGAGCAGTGCTATCAATGTTTCACAGCCACTGATTAAGAGTTTTTGAAATGTAAACATAAATGATAATGCCTCAGCTTCCGGAGACATTGCTATTGATGCAAACTGCTCCAATAATCGGATTGTCCAAAATGCTCGAAGGACACATGGAACATTCAGTCGTTGCCACTCATTTTCAACGAGTGCTGATAGTCCAAAGTTCTCAGCAAAACTCACGGCATGTCTATAGCCACTAAGTAATGTCCTAAAAATATCAACTGATGCACTCCATATTGCTATTTTCGATAGAACTAAAGGTAGGACTGCCGAAAATGTTGGTGCGTGCTTAACTATATTTATAGGTATCGGTAATATAGCTAATATTAGTGGCATCAAGAATGTAAATGGTAATACACGTTGTATTAATTGATGCTTTGGTCCTAGATGAATATATGCAAATATTATTCCCATGACATACTGTAACAAGAAATGCGGTAATAGAGTCACAGCCATTCCATCTGATGATGTTAATCGCTGAATATTAACATTCAAAATGTCCTCAATCAAACTTGGATTTCCTTCTTTAAGCAATGCTACCGCTGCAACATTACTCCAATGTGATAAAAATATTAGACCTACTGATATAATGTACAAATATATGATTACTAAATGGCGTGTCCATAACATAAAAATTGCTAATGAGCTAAAGCAACCTGTAATGAGAGAATAACAAAAAATTAGATTTTTTATAAATAATTCCCATTTCGCACATTTATATCATCATCATCATTGTAGTCGTTCAAGCAAGTTGTTTGGTTGATGATGACGACATTGAAAATGACGAAACAAGACGTATATGGCCATAAAAGCTCAATGTCAATTTCTTATAGGTCAAAAATTTTACAATTCATTTCTTTCAGGAAGACTGCACCTCTATGAGTCATTTTGTTGGACTATATCTCAAGAGGATTTAAGTTAAATCTATGGATTTAACCAAAAGGATTAAAATTAAATCCCTGGATTAAAAATAATTGAAGCTTCAATTCACAAAGGTGCGTTTCCGCATCTTCAATTCAATGTAAAACTGAATGACACTCGACGAAATCAGCCAAACTCGAGCCGGTTTGAGAAATGTTAAGGAAAAACACACACAATTTTTTGGAGTTACACTTTTATTTCATTATCAAATCGTGACCTTCGGCATCTTCATGGTGCAGTGATTTTTCGGTCTCTTGCGCATAAATTAACACAACTAGTTTAAGCTAATCATAACATTCGATTTTGATATCCACACAACATTGTAAATAATTAATTTATGTGAGTTGGAAAATTATAAGGCACAATTTCATGCTAGTTAAGACTGGTTAAGTCAGCAAAGAATGAAAATGTGAAGTATATGGTTTGACCCTGACATTTTTTCATGTCTTATGCACTTAAATAATGGATTTTATAATGACTTTTCAGCAGATTAGCTCGAAAATCATTTCTGATTATCAAACGAATGTTCAACTACAATTGACAATGGGATCTGTGCTTATATTGTTGTTATTATATAGTCAGTCATCACTGATCGTCATCATCATTGAGAATTCATAGAAAATTTCGAAGGTCTTTTGAAATTAAATGAAATTAAGCTTTCTTACCTATAAGAAATATTACACATTTGAATAGTGTTACTGATAATCCATGTAAGTCTATGTTGTTGACTATAGAATCTGTTTGATTTAATGTTGACGAACTATTTAGAATTGTATTATTTGTGTCCAAATTTGTAAAACTTCCTAATTGCGTTGAACTTAGATTTTCATTGAATAAATTCATTTTTAATATCTCGTCTAATAGAAATAGAGGTGGTATCCGCATTATCACATCCACAAAACCAAGAAATTTCGCTCGGTAAGACATTTTTAACAATTTTTTGCCTACTGACTGCTAGTTTTAAAGAATTTTTTATTTATTTTATTTTACAAATACATTCACACGCAATTTTACACGAAGTTGTTTTCTCCTCGTTGTATTCAAAATTTGAAAATACGTTTGTTTTATTCGATGATTGATGACGTCATGAGTGATCCGAGAAGCAATGCTAGAATTTTAATTCAGTTGTGTGACTGATATGTTGAATTTCAGAGGAATTTCCAAAATAAAATATGTTATATTTCAGTTTGAACTATTTCCTGGATAAAATTTGAATTTTATCATTATTTTTCAAACTTTTTTTGACAGTTATTTTTGAAATAACCATTCCAATTAATTCATGAAATTACAGAATCGATAGTTTAAAGAAACCTGAAAGTTAATGATAATCACAAGACATGACAATTTATGTTGTTTTTCATTTATTTTTGGAAAAAAGAATTTCTATACAATGAGAAATGAAATCATAAGCGAAATATATAAACATAAAACTTACTTGATAAATCGCTAAGCATTAATTTAATTTATTTATGCTCCATAATATAAATCTTTTATTGGAATCTTTATTATTTTTTTCATACTTTTCTTTTTTTTAATAATTCGCGTCATTTATCATCATTTCTTACTTGCAATTGTTTTTAAGGATATTCTTCACTTTTATACCTTAATCAAAAGGATTGTTGATTGAGAGACAAAAAAAAATATTAATTAATTTAAACCTTGGTTTGTGTGTTGTTTTTTTCATCATTTCTAATATATATCATTTAAATATGCAGGAGTAATCATAATGGTTGTTATTATGAATGTGCAGCAGAGAAGATAGACAAATACAAAAAAAAAACCAGCCGAAGCTTAAACCTTTTATCAATAGCATGATACAAAAAAATATATATATTTATGTAGATTAATGTTCAATTGGCTTAAATGGACAGCAGTAAGGATAGATAGACGCAAAGGAAAAAGGCTAAAGCATGTCCTTGTATAAATTTTGATTCGCGGAATTTTAACGAAACAGTTTCTTATGCTCCATGCACACAAGTGCTCGTGAACATAATAAAAAAAAATATTGTAATAAAATCAAGAAACAACTAAGGATGGAGAGAGGACGCACGTGTTGTGTGTGAAACATTCAAGAATGGAAAGTGTGGGAGAAAATTATAATCATAGACAGACGATTGAAGTTTGGATATTTAACAACATCCACCCTTATTTCCTTCTACAGGACGTCCAGTGTCAATCTTAACATTCTTTGTTGTGTCTGTAGCACTTGATGGTGGTCCCACGCGATTCTTAATTTCTGCTGCCATCGTCATGAACGCTTGCTCGACATTCGTGGCATTCTTTGCTGACGTTTCAAGGAATGGAATTCCAAGTTGATTGGCATATTCCTGCAATTACATTATGTTGGATGTCATTAGTTGAATTAAAACGAAATTAAATCTCAGGATTAAAATTCAACTCCACAGGATTAAAAAATCAATCCTCCAGATTAAGTACATAGGTCAAAAACACTCACCGTAGCAGTAGTTGTATCCACGACTTTCTTTGTCGTCAGATCACATTTGTTGCCTACGAGAAGTTTATTTACATTTTCACATGCATAACGTTCAATTTCCTCAAGCCATTGTTTAACATTATTGAATGATTCTTGATCCGTACAGTCATACACTACGATAATACCATGCGCACCACGATAATAACTGGAAGTAATTGTACGGAATCTCTCTTGTCCCGCTAAAAATATAAAACATTATCGCTTATTAGATCCTGTATTGAGTCTTGAATGCTGAGTAAAGAATGTAATAAGTGAATGCTGCTGATCTAGCACAAATATGCTCTACTTTTATGTTTATTTTGGATTCTATTACTGATTAAATGTCAGAATGTGCAAAAATCAATATAAATCCAGACACAGATCCAGAACTGATGACTAATAAGCAATCAGCCACAATATTATCAAGTTATATTCAGTTATAACATAGTTGGTTCAATTTCTTATGAAATAGCCCTTACCTGTATCCCAGATCTGGAGTTTAATTGTCTTTCCATCCAATTCAATTGTTCTGATTTTAAAATCAACACCGATGGTACTTATATAACTCTCTGTGTAGGTGTCATCGGCGAATCTTAATAATAAACAAGACTTTCCAACGCCTGAATCGCCGATCAAAAGCAACTTGAACAAATAATCACTGAAAGTAGAGAAATAGAAGTGGAAATGGGGTTGTTGATCAATTAGAATTAACTTATTATGTGCTATACGCCCCGATATTTCTTTGTTACATCCAATAATTGTGCATTTATAAAGAATTTATGTCAGAGATTATATGTGAGATTGTCTCGTAATCAAATATCAAATTTCAAGCATAAATGCACACACAAAAAAAGTATCGATTTGATAAAAATGAGAGTGGCAGGCACTCAAATAAATTTTTGGGTCGTCGAGATAATTCGGAACTTTGATCACACAAAAATGTTATTGCGTCATAACTGAAACGTATGTTGGCATTGCCAACTGATATTATGGCTAGTAACTTGATAAAAAAAATGAATAGATGTTGAGAAAACAATCTTCAGCCTTTCCTAATGATTGCAAATATTTCTCAATGACGATGATGGATGGAATGATTAAAACTGATGATTTTTTTTTCTATGTCTGTATTGGTATATCCAACAACAAAGAATTGATGATTTTAATTTTCACAAAAAACTTTTCCTGCTCATTGAATGACTCATACAAATTTCTATTTTTCCATTATATCTATAGCTCTCTTCCATGGAACTTGATATTCTTTATCATTACTATTAACACTTTATTACTGGATCTTTATAGCACATAACTTATCAAATAGACTTTAAAACTACACAAAAAAATTTCGATGAGTCGTCATCAGTCAAAGAAAACTTAAAATTATCATTTTTCACGTAAATACTCACTATTCGGGTGACATTGCCGACATTTTTGATATAGTTATAGTTTTAAGAAGAGAATTAAACTAAATTTATAGCTTTAAACTTTGTAATAAATACAATTAATTGCAAAATTATTTTCTGATGATTTTTTTTTCTGACGACTTTTTTTTCGTTGGCTTTTTTACTGACTTTTTTGCAAGGGCTTAAAGCGCATTTTGTCTATCTGATGAGCTTTTTACAGCTTATAATGTGTGAAGCTAGCCGTTGAGCAGTATGTCAAGAGATCCCGCTAGCGCTATTGATAATTAGCTTTTATGAGAATTTACGTACGTAAAGCGTTAACATTACGTAGCAAAAACATATGTATTTTTACGTAGCACTTAAAAATCAAAAATTCTCAATATCCTATTAAGCCTATATTAAAAATTCTACGAGAAATCCATAAAAAGCGCTCTAGTCTGCCATTCAATGCCTTTCCTATAGCTTAATTCCTTTCTTTTTTCCAAGGTAAAAACTCAAATTTCAAAAAACTGTTAATTTTAATTTATTTATTTGAATATTCAAATGCTTAATTACAGTACAATATGATCTTAAAATAAATATATTTATCATTCCTCATCCATATCGATAGCTGTTGAGAATGACATGCCATCGCATTCTAGAGTATTTAAATTGACTATAGCGACTGTTTGAGACTTCTGGAACGATGGGATGCAGACAAGTCGAGTCTTTTGACTATTTGAGTCTGAAATTAATGGAATTAATGATTATTCTTTGATAATTCAACAATCTTTTAATGAGATTTATCTTATTAAGTTGGAGAATGGTATTATTAAAAATTTAAAAAGCTATTAATATTAACAGTGAGGCAAACAATAAATAGCACTAAAAATATCTTGATAAACAGATCTATAATTAAATTAAAACTATCGTCAATTCGCAAAAGCTATATTATTAGACATCGTATACTGATAGATTAAGATTAATCCGATTTAAAAACTCAACATCAAATTTAAATCCAAGGATCAAGTTTAATCCTCAGGATTAAAAATTAATACTATCAACTTACTTTCATAGATCTCCGTAAGCAGCACATTTGAATCATGAGCACTAAAGTAAACATGTGGACATTCAGTTATGACGAATGGATCTTGATCATAATATGGATAACAAGGAAGCGTATCAGGACATGTTGGGGCTAAATGTGACCACTTTAGAGTATTTTTCATGCATTCCAAAGGATCATCAGTTGTTGAAAACTTCATTATATCCTTAATGTTCTGCCCAGATGTCCCCAAAATGATTCGATCCTCAATAGAAAATTGATATGGATTTGGAACGCCTGTTAGTGCTCGATTAACTGAACTTCTTGGGAATAGACAATGATGAAATGGCTGTTGAGGAAGCATGACATTTGATGGATCATATTCTCCAGGCATAACATCAACGGCAACAGATTGAGATAAATGAAATAGAAATTCATCAAATGTTCGTACACCTTCAACCATTCCTTTTGTGTCTATGGCTCTTAAATTTGTTGAATTTACATTCTTTTGCTTCTTTGGCGCACTAGCTCTTGTTGAATTTCCAGCAATAACTATACGGACGACATTTGATGGACAATATTGTGTTGGGGAACTTCCCATTTCTAGATTTCCATAAGCCCATTGCTGGAATAAGTCTAATGGTAATGACGGTGTTTCTGTATTAGCCAAATCTATTCCACTAATGAAAACTAGCAATGGTGATATATCTAATACTTTTAATGGAACTTCTGGTCCTGACTCATAGAGGATTAGTTCATCAACTTGAAATTTTCCAGCTCCTTCCGTGTATCCTAAAATTATTAATAAAAGATTAGCTGGATGTTGATTAAATGCTAGGAATAAAACACAAAAATGATAATTTTGCATAATGAACACAAACAACGAGTGAGAATAAAGGAATGAGAACCAAAAAGAGTGAATAGTGATGTAAGGAACAATCAATATCAAGTTTAAATGACTTACGGTCTATTCCTATTTTTATTGCGAATATTCAGGGGAATTATAAAGAGATTTATCACAGATATAATTAATTAAAAACAGTACTTACCAAGTACAGCCACAACAATCCCTGTAACTAGCTCTGCAGTATTAATTTTACCACAAAGTTTGATTCTTTGAATGTTGTCTTCTAGTATGATTTCATCTGATGGCTGATTATAGTCTTGTGGTGGTGGAAGTGGTGCCAGTTGGTTCTCTTCAGCTATCTCCTTCAAAATACTAGGCTTCAGTTCCATATGCTTGTATATATTACCGATTAAGATACATTTCGCTGGATCATCTTCACTGAGATCAGAAATCATCTTTATTGGATACTTGGTACCTAAAATCACAGAAAATTGTGGTGTTTGTACAATTAGCTTAAATAAATTTAATACTGACCATGTTTAGCATTGATTTTATGCTTCAGAAGATCTCCAAGTTGCTTTAAACGAGATTCATAAATTTTAAAGAACTGACGCTGGAAATCCTGGTCATTTCTATAGAACTTTGAGGATTGATTCTCATAAGTACATCCAACTCGTGACAAACTCATGATTCTTTGCTTTAGTGATCTAGTTCAATTAATTTTAACTTGGCGCTATTTTATGTTTACTATTTTTACAGTTGTTGTCCCCTGACAGGGGATTATCGACCCAATTATCAAAAGTTTAAGCTTTTTTCAGCATAATTCTACATGTCTACCTGCTATTCCTTGATAAATCATGAAACTGGCTTAATTAAACATCAGTGTGCTATTGAAAATCGAGCAAAAACATGAAAAGTTTTAAAAGTTTATAACTGTCAAAAATAATTTGAATTTAAATTTCATTTTGCTCCATTCATTGTAAAGCGAAAATTATTTTAATTAATCGAATTAAACGATTTAAAGTGGTTATTAATGAGTTAATTATCCTTAATTGTGTTTATAAAGACTTAAAGAATCGTAATTTGTACAAGTTTGCAAAGGAAATTATCAAAAAAGGTGAGAAAAGTCGAAAAGAAAAATTTTCACATTCTTGTGTGGGTAAATTTTCAATGACGTCTTTGTACTTAGCACACAAATAGCTATAATTAAGGGCAATACCATGAAACGATTTGTCTTCAAATTGATTTTTACATCTTTAGACTATTCTAATGCAAATAAGCTTTTCGTAGGCCATTAAAAACATCATTTTCTACTTAATTGACTGAAATTTGCTTATTTAAAGTGGTTAATTTAAGAATTATTTCAATTCTTTTGGCTTTACTTAATAACACAATCGAATATTTTTTATTTGGAGACTCACTTAAAGTGATTTTTCTCTCCTTTCCGCAGTTTGTTAATAATAAAGACTGTTACAACTCAAAGAGTGATTATCAAGCTACCAAAATCTAGCATTAAATTAACTCAAATGTGCTTAATTAAGCTACAATATTAATTTCTATGTGCCTTAAAAAAATGTTACCAAGTAACGGAGAGATTTATTCCGTGAAGAAATACAGAATTCAAAATTAGAATTACTCATTTTAGGATGAAAAATAGTTTAAGTTGAGTAAAACATTAATAAAATAAGAGTAAAAAGAAATATTTGGAAAATAATATTTCTTACTTAATAGACTTGGATCAAACTCAAATGTAAACAATGAAACTATTTCATGGAATTGCCCTTAATTTAAATGTCAAAGTTTAAATACATTCTCTTTTTCTTCTCATTTAAACTGACTTTTAGGTAAGTTAATTCGTCAAAAAATAAAGAGTAAAAACAGTGCTTTCCGGAAGTTCAAAAAAAATATCAGTGATGGATTCAGATTTATCTGAGGCTCATGAGCCCAAAATTCCGCCATTAATGGGTCAAAATTTTGGCCAGAAATCAAACTTATTCTCACAACCACCTCCCAATTTCACTTCAACTCCATCTTATCCGTCATATATGAATCACATACAACAATATGCGAGTAGAATGCAATTGCAACAAATGTCAAATGCTGGTGGCTTCTTTCGTCCACCAAACTTTAATAATCAATCGCCAAATAGTTTATTTAATAAACCAATACGATTTAATATAAATAAGCAAGGTACGAAAGTTAATCCAATTATGCGACAACAACAACAACAACAGCATCAAAATAATAATAATAGTAATAATAATATGATGAACAATTCATTCATGAACAATAAGCCTAATCAGAACATGATGAATGCTTTCCAAAACTCGAATGCTAAAAAGCGTAAAAATAAAAAGAAGAATAAAAATAAGAATAATAACAATAATAATAGTAATTATGAGGATAATGGATATAACAGTAATAATATCTCAATGCAACCGCCATTACCACCTCCAATTAGTTTTGCAAAACCACCACCGCCAGTTCCAACACAATCTTCACAGGGACAGAGTAATCAGTCTCAAGATTTTTCGTCAAATCAAATTAATAATGATACAGCGAAAATCAGCGACTCAATCTCCGATAATCTCAGTCAAACTGGTGAAAAACCTGTTATGGAATGGCCAGAATCTTTGTATAATTATGTTGCTCGTTGCTACATGAAATGCACGACTCCAATTGACAAGGATATGTGTGAAATTAGCTTAAAAGGGAAAATTACAATGGCAGCAAATCGTGGCGAACTTTTTACAAAAGATTGGGACAAGGAACCAATGCCAGTGCTTCATAGTGATCGTTTACAACAGCAAACGTCTCCCCAAAAGCCTGCAAATAACATGTTTAATAAAAATAAGAATGTTGTTGCAGGACAATTAGCTAAATATCAACAGCAATCACCGAGCACGTCTAAAAGACCATCGTCATTTGAGGATCGTTTTGGAAAGACCTCAAAAAAGCGACGATCATCGTCAAGCTCTCGATCAAGGAGTAATAGTCCAATTAAAAAGCGACGAAGTGATGAAGATGATGATTATGAAGATAAATACACAAACAGCATTAAGCCAGCTACTAAAGCTAGCAAGAAAAAGGCAAAGAAAGAAAAACAATCTGCATTCTACAGTAAATTTGGTGCCAATCAAGTTGGAGGTTTTGTTGATTCAGCAGATACTGAAAGACTCAAAAAAAGGGCTGATAGGTTCAATGTTAAGGCAAAATCATCACCAACAGCTAGTTCGTCGTTCAATAAGAAACGACTTACAATGCCTTCATACTTTAATCCCGTTGTTGACGATTCTGTCGATGACTCTATCGATTTTATGAACTTGCACATTGTTGGCACCTGTCGAGATCTAGAAAAGTCTTTTTTGAGACTCACAAAAGCACCAGATGCATCTGAAGTTCGTCCAACGGACGTCCTTCAATACTCATTAACAAATGTCCAGAACAAATGGAAAGAGAAACAAGATTACTACTATGCCTGCGATCAACTCAAATCGATTAGACAGGACTTGACTGTTCAAGGAATAAGAGATGAATTCACCGTCAAAGTCTATGAGACTCATGCAAGGTAAGAACAGCTAGTTTTAATATATTTTAATGCTTAATTAATAAATTATCTATACCTTATTAGAATTGCAATGGAGAAAGGAGATCACGAAGAGTTTAATCAGTGCCAAACACAACTCAAAATGCTCTACAATGAGATTGGCGGTGAAAATCAGCTAGAATTCCTGGCATATCGAGTCTTATATTATATTTTCACAAAAAATACTCTTGGTAAGTTACTTTGTAAGAATTTATGAGCAGCTGTAGATTAATTAATATTATTTTTCTAAAATTAGATATGTCATCAATTCTTAAATCACTGTCAGTTGAGGAGAGGAGCAGTGAATGTATAGCACATGCATTGAAACTGCGTTCAGTTTGGGCTCTTAATAACTACTCGAGATTCTTCCAACTTTACAGGAAATCACCGAAAATGAGTGGATTCATAATCGATTGGTTTGTCGAGCGCGAGCGGAAGTTAGCATTGAAAAATTGGATCATCAAAGTGTATGTTAATGAGTGCTTTAAAGAAGTTTCACTTCTCATTGTATTATTAAGTATTAAATTTATTAATGGTGAATGGGGCTAGAATGAGGGACTACCGACCAATATCCACAAAAAAAAAAGATTTGCATGAAAATTATCAACTAATTAATTCTTTTTCAGTGAAATCTTTTCCCCTTTTAAGTTTTATCCAATTTTATTTTAATTTTTAAGAAAAAAAAAAATCAAAATTTAACTCTTTATTTCATTAAATATTTAGCTATCGACCAAACATAAGCAGCGAGTTTATTAAAGAAACATTGGCATTTAGTGATCTCATAACATGCGTGGAATGGTTGATGTCGCTAGGAATTACATTTGTTAATGATGACGATAAGAAAATTGTTGATTGTAAAACAAGCATGAATGCGGTTTCGGCGCTTTAGAGTTTTTCGAAAAAAATAATGGAGAAAACGGAGAAGAGATTAGTGAATAATATTAGTGCATTTGATTCTGCTCTATAATATAATAACATATAAATGAACTTATTTATGAACAATTTAAAACAAATTGATTAGTGATGAATTGAGGTCGTTAAAAATCCTCGATGTCCTAGTATTTCGTTGTATATGCTTCTCGCACTCGTCAGATTATCATCAATATAGACTTATCAAGTATCAAAAAATAATAATAATAATTTCGTAATTAGAAATGTGCAAACAAAAAAGAGACAATATCGATAAATAATGGCGGTTGTGATATTATTTCTCTCTAAAAAAAGAATCATCAAGAAGCATCCATAAAAGTTGTTGTTGTGTTTGAAAGCTGCTAAGAAACATTATAAAGTGAATTGTGTGGACAGTGTGAGCAATTATGGACAATTGAATGCTCAAGCAAGTGGTTTTGAACAATTAAAGCAGCTGACATTCAACGAATATTATCTTCCAAAATTGTCCAAAAACCCTTCCATAAAAAAATCACATTAATACTGAAAGTTACTGTATATTATTCCTGTACATAAAAAGAATAGTTAAAAAAATCCTTTATCAAAGACAATTCTATCACTGAATTTACTTAGTGTGGTCGATGAAGAAGCCATAAATCATTTTTTTTTGTTGTTGTCTCGATGATTATCATTTCCTCACTGAAATTTACTTCCTTATTATTTAAATAAACTGTTTTTATTAAAATAATAATTTATTATCAATTTATAGTTCTTCCAATTCGACACAATATGAATTCCATCGGCTCAGAACAATAATAAAGGATCGGAAGAATTTCCCTTTAAAAAAATATTAATTTATTTGTGCTTTATTCAAATTTTATTACAGATTTATAAGATTTACAGGTTGTGAATTTTGAGATTTGGCATTCTCTAGAATTGAATGTGATGTACTCTATTGTTCTTGTTTTCGTTGTGATCAAAATGGAGAATTATATGGATTCTTTAATTCATAATCTAGAAGGTACAATTAAACAACTGGTTTAAGGACTGACAAAGAGTCTTTTCCCTTTGAATGGAAGATTGAAGAATAAACAATAATTTCATCACTGAAAGTTCGAATGAAAACTTTCCTGTTTCTAATCCTTAATCAAATAGAGATTAAAAGCTGAAAAGACTTGGTTGGAACTATATTCAGCATGTTTTTTGGGTTCTGAATCTTAGTCCTAGCATTGTAAGAATCCTTGTCATATCGACAAGACTATAATAATGATTAAGAGACCGACACTGGTGGGAATTGAACCCACGTGCTCACAGAAAAGGGTAACAAATTTTCGGTGTGTTGTTTTACCACTCACGCGATAAAGGCCTAATTCTTGAACTGACAGATTCGCCTATATATGTTTCGATACCACAGATTCCACTCGGATCAGAGCGGACAACATAATAATAATAATGTGTGAAGGGCCCAGCCTTTCAGCTGGAGGCACTGCGATTCAAATTAGAACAGAATCTATTGTACCACACCCTTTAGACCTACAGTTTATAGTGGGATCCGAACCACTTGCGGACAACATAAACATAACAACTAATCTAAAGAATGCTTCCATTTAAACTTCAAAGCTTTGATACCAAAGTAACTGAATTCTAGTTCCGATATAAATTACATAAATAGAGTACACTAGATTTATATTATATATATATTTTTTTCAAGTTCATGTCCATACATAACGTAACTAATACAGATTGTTTTCTTTATGTATGTCATTGAAGTTGGTCATTTTTGCAATAAATTGTATTGCTTCCGAGTTGTATGAATTGCTTAAATAATGTTCAGGTTTTATTGCAACAAGCCCTGATTGTGAAAGTTTAAAGCTCTTCACTGTATTTAACAATGATATCAACGAAATGCATCATGTCTTGCTTGGTGAGTGATGAATCTTGCAAGACGAGACGGAAGAAGTTTGGCTTAGAATTGAGTGGTTGGTATGTGATCATCATGCTGCCTTCTTTCATCATTCTCTCTTTAACCTTTGGTGCAATTTTATGTAATTCTTGATTAAACTGATCGTCACGTGGAAGATTTCTTAATTTCTTTGGAATATACCAGAAACAAATGTTTGTGCATTCAGGCTCGGCAATAAGTTCAAATCCTTCTCGGTTCTTTATAAGTTCCGTGAAATATTCTGCCTTTTCAAAGATTTGATCGACATGCTTCTCAAAACCTTTTGTTCCCTTTGCACGCCACATGTACCAGAACTTGTAAACATCAGCACGTCGTCCACATTGTATGTGCTTATCACCAGTATCGTATTTTGTGTCATAAAATTTATCTTTCTGAAACAGGTATGCTGCATTCGATGAATGACATTCTGATAAAATACCTTCATGTCGGCAAAGGAATGTGGAGCATTGTTGTGGACAGGCCAACATTTTATGGGGATTCCATGTCACTGAGTCCGATCTAGATTCAATAAATAATAAAATTTTTATAGATTTATGCATTCATGTGCCAAGCAGGTGTGTTATTATTTAACAATTGCACATAACGTCATTGAAAACGGTATTAAGCACATTCTTATGGCTATTAAGTGATTTAATCATTATTGCAATTGTAGACTTGAACTTAACGTACCTTTCAATGCCTTTTAAAAGTTTTTTATATTTTTGAGACATAAGAGCACCACCTCCCCATGCAGCATCAACGTGCATCCATAAATTGTATTTCTCACACAAATCAGCAATCTTTTCGAGGGGGTCAAAAGCACCTAGCACAGTCGTACCTGAGATTAAAGTTAATTATCTCTTAAAAATATCAACTTTTTACGAAATTCTTTTTCAATAATTACCAGCTGTTGCCGAAACCATGAATGGCAATGCGTTTTCTTCTTTAGCACGTAAAATTTCGCTTTCTAAAAAATTAGAGTCATTGAAATTTTGGTGATCTTGAAGCTTTTACATTATTTAAACTTACCTAAATGACTCATGTCCATTTTACCACATTCGTCTGTTCTGATTAAATACACATTATCAGTTCCGATTCCCATAAATGATGCCAACTTTTTCACTGAATAATGTGCGTCGGCTGATGTAAATAAAACAAGTCTTGGCAAGCTATGTAAGCCTTTAGCCTGTAAATCATAATAATAAGATTAAAAAATTAATCTGACATTAAAGTTCTATGCTACATTTCAAGAATTCTTATTTGTAATTTAAATTCTTTTTGATCTTTAATGCTTGAACATGATTTTTAATTATAATTTTCAAAGTTTACAAGACTTGATGAATGCTTAGCTACACGTACATAGTAACTCGATTGATTGAATAATTGTACATTAGAATTTTAATTGGTTGTAATAAAAATGTCATACAAGCTCAAGGGGAGAACATGTTTGAAGATTTTGAAATTCTAGGGATCAATCTCATCCAAAGAGATAATAATAGGGTAGGAAAGGAGTAATCATAAGTTTAGATCAAATTCTCATCAAAATCTTGATAAATAGTCAAAAAGAAGGTCCCATCATGTTATTTTCCCCTTGGAATCAACATTTAACAGATTCATGTTTAGGGAAGATATCGACTAGATCAGCTAGACAAGATTGATCATAACCTTTTGATATTTCATGATTCTAGGATTAAATCCTGTGTTATTCTCGGTTAAACTTGTTTATTCGGGTATATCCCAAATTCAAACTACTTGATGAGATTTCTTAGGCTGGGATATACTTGTATGCATATGTTTAATCAAGATCTAGGTTCCAAAGAGGTCTAGACTGAAATGTCTTTGCGAAAAAAATTTGGAAATCACTTCAAAAATGTCTAGCTTCACCCTTACTAGTATTCTAACATGCAAACTTCTTTCTTATAGAGCTTAGTCTATAGGTATCCATAAAATAACCGGTAATGCCATGAATCAAAGCATATATGAACCCATCATAAAACCTAATCATGTTAACATTATTGAATTCTTTTAAGCCTTATTAAGGTGATGAATAGAGAACGGTGAAAAACAGAAGCAATCAACCTTTGTAATCCAAAAAGTGCATATTAATCAATCCTAATAACTGTCGAGAATACGATCAAATGTTAATAAACGTGATTTGTCAATTTACGACATGCTTGCGATATTTTTGAACTTTAATTGACAATTTTTTAATTTATTGTGAAACAATTTCATTAACGAAATGGACCTGGGGCAATGCAAAGAATATTGAGCATAACTGTGCATAATTCAATCAAAACATTCTCGGCACGTTGATCGAATTTAATTGAATGAATTTTTATCACATTAATGCTTAGCGACTTTTATAGCTTTTTTTTAGAGACACTCGTCAAGGCTATAAGGAAATTATTAATTCGTCTAATTTCCGCGTTATTTTGTATACTTTTTCTTTTCGAACATTTTTGTGCAGGTGGAAGCAGTGAGAAACATCTTTATGCTTAGTCGTGCATCAAGCATGTTTCCGCTTGCTAAGTGCACCCTAAAAATAATTGCACTGTGATCATTTGTCATTCGTGTAGACTTCGTGTTAGCTTTGTGACTTTATATTATTTTTTTGGCAATTGTGCTTAAAACTGCCACATTCATTCATCATCACAGACTTTCAGTTTCGTTAATTTTTGGCAGTAATGCTTTTTGGGAATTTTCCTCTCTCCTTACCTTTACGTCCGGAAATGCATGATATCTAGCACATGAGATAGAGTATCCATTTGCTAATGACCCGCCTGGACAGAAAATTCCATCGCCTTCACCATTTTTGTAACCGACAATTTCTCTCATTTCTTTAAGGACGACTTCTTCCATTAGAATAAAAACTGGAGATACTTCATACGTATATACACTTGGATTTAATGCATCTGTAATAAGTTGTCCAGCAAATCCGTAAGGATCAACGCATGAGAACAATTGATTCACAAAGTATGGATGTCCTGTCTTTACAGAATATTTGATTGTATCGTTGGCTAATTTCAAGAGTGTCTCATCGGAATCGGGATCATCTTTCAAGTCCATATTAAGCTTTTTCTGAAGCTCCTCTGGATCTGTCCACTCAAGCACCTTATTCTCACGTTTTGTTCCATCAAAAATAGCTTTGTCCAAAACATTATCAAATAAAGTACGAAGAAATTTCTCATGATTCTTGCTTGGCAATGATAACAATCTGTCACTTTCAGCACCAGACATTTTCAAATTTTGCACCGATTTAATTTTATTCACAACTGCACTATCGTAATCGTGTTCTTCATCTTCCGATACACCCGATGAACTGTTGCCACTATTTAGATCCTCATGAATTTGCTTTTCACTGCTATTATTATTATTTTTGGATGCGATCATTATATCTGATTGCTCCTCGTCTGTTATATTATTAAACGGCATTTTTGTTTTCAATATTATTTATATATCTTTATTTTTCACCAGAGTCTATGACTTGTTGTCTGTATCAACATCAAATTTCTATCCACAAACTGTAAGATTCACGTTTTAATCAACGAAACTTATACTTTTAGCACATCGCCAAATGACTTTGAAGGAATGAATGGAGGAAATGACTTTTTGTTTAGAAAAAAATAAATCACAAAGTACACAATATGCACCCCCAAATACGAATGAATAGAAATATAATTTCTAAATTAGCGATCGCGCACAATTTGCGGAAAACTAAATCCGACGTTGTAAATATAAAAATAAAGACTAAATTTGCTCTTGCAAGCTGCAAATGCTTTTATATCTATGAAGAATAAACTAACACTATTTTATGAATATACGTTTTGATGTGAAACTAGTTGCGAATAATTATTAATGTCCGATATGCTAGAGCTATGAATCAATGTAGAGTACAAATGTGTCTAACATGTATAATTATAGCAAATGTATTTAACAGCCGATCAGTCTATTATGAACAAATCTAGACATGACTATAGCTTTAAGAAACAAGAATACTAACAGCATGGACTATAACAGTATTAATTGTAAGAAGTAGTTTTACTACCAATAAAGCCATTTATGTGTAGAGGGGGTTTATTTCGGAAAAAGCCTTGAATGAATCAACACTACAACAAAGTTGAAACTTTTTCTGCTATCATATCCAATTGATTGTTAAATCCAGTGTTGCTTGTTTGATTCCTTCTTTGCTGTAGTTTGGTGATATACTAGGTTGATCTTATTCTTGACAATTATTTGCCTATCTTGGTTAAAACAATGATGTTCTGAAGTTTATCTTGTCCAGATGAAGTTCCATTAGGGTCTAGATCAGTGTTGTCCGAACTTTTTGGAGCCACGGCAAACTTTGACTATGGTACACAGTTTGGATAACACTGATCTAGATGGATAACACAAAGACTAAAGTGTGTTCGGCTTTTGTTTGAGCAAAGTCATGTCGACTTCGAGGACTGCGTCTAAAGTATTAGATGAATGTACACTAAGTTCTCTTTGAATACTAGATTATCTTAGACTAGCCGAAATTCGGTCTGAATCTTAAAGATGACACAGCTAATCTAGCAACACAGTCTTAACTTGATAACTTTATCTAGACTTAGTCAATTCAAGTCTGGCAGAAAGGCGATCCCTCTCATATCTTAGGTATCTATCCAAACCACTTCCAATAATCATACCCAAGCATGTTTAAAGCATCAAAATCAACAACACTGGACTCAAATTAATACATTTTATTTCGCATAGACAATACAGTGTTAAGTCAAGGTTACAAACCATGCGACAGCTGATTGATTGTAAATATTCTTTTCATAACAGGAGCGGTACGCGAAAAAAAGTTATATCCGTAGTGAAGCACACCTGCTAATTATAGCTTTTAATGGTATTTGATAACTATATTTAGAATTAATTAATCTATTAAAAATAAATTATTTCGGATAGCAAAAAAATGGGGAAATCGGGGGTTTTATAAAGAATTATGGCTTAATTATTTTAATGCATAAAAGTTGCGTTGTTAATGAAACAATTATAACACCAATAGAACATGACTTTCATATCGTAATCAAGTTCCTATAAATATTAAATTGTTTTATAAAATAGAAATTTTCTACTTTGATTTACGTCCGAGATATTCCAATTTAAATCGGTTAAGGTCCAGTTCGATCGAAATTGATCGTAGATATTTTATATGGAACGAACTTATTATTGATACTTTAATGACAACTGAAAAATCTTGTTTAAAAAGATAAGTCAATTTTGATGAGTGATTGATGAACTTTCACTGATAGAATAGAATGTAGAGAGTGTAAGTTATTATGAGTTAACCGTCAAGATCATCCTATGCTTATTTTACCGAAAGATAACGTATTAATGGACTTACATTGTCTCAATTTTTACAATTACTTTGAATTTCAATTTAATCAGTTTTTCAATTAAGAACTTTCCATATTGATTGCAGAATATTGAAAGATTAAGATTCGAACTCAAGATTTTTAAAAATTCTTTAAACATTTCAAATTTTTTCTTCAATTCTAAATATACAATCTTGCAAAAAACATTACAAAGTAGATGAACATTATTATAAGCCACAAATGATGCATATTCATAGTGACTGCTCACATTATTTATTGTGCTCATATTCATTCATCATCTTTCTCTAGACATTTTATATGCAAATTTTATGCATTTGATCACCTAAGTTACGTAAAGGAGAATTCAATTCCGCTCTAATTGATTAATCTATAAAAATTCAAACAATTTCCAGAACTAATTGAACATCCATAAATTAATATCACGTTTTCATCTAATGGAAGGTTTTTACATATGAATTGAGATCAATACACGTCATTGAAAAATATTCAGGCATGTTGAAATATTGGGAATGTATCGAAAAACACTTGTCTGTGCCTGTATCCAGCTCATAGTTTCGTGATAAGGTTAAAATGAGAAAACTAGTTCTTTTAATGATTTCTATTATTCTTTTCATTGGTAACTAGATGCATAATTAATTTAAGTATTCATTTGAATCGCATTAAGGTCAATTCTTTATCCTTAGCTGTCAATAATTGCAATGGAAATGATAAATTGAAAAGTTCTACAGTTTGGAAGTTGGTCAAAAGATTTACAATCCATCGGATTCACGATTTAATGGTTCAAAATATTGATTGTGATTACAACAATTGCAATTCTAAACAAGCTTTGATCGATTATGTCAATAATTTGGTTGATGACGACACAAATCAATTAAAAAGTGAACATTGTGATTATTTAATTAAGGAAATTATTGAGAAAGATTTTCATCTATTAGCACGTGATGAGCTGTAAACTGTGAGTAGCACAAACTGTAATTACTTTGTTAAATAAAAGATTTGAAATCAGTGAAAAAAACATTTGTGAGGTTTCAAAAGCTGCTAAGTTCTGTCGCAAAACTGCATCGATTATTTTTTCAGCAGTATGCAATGTTTGTGTGCTATATACTGCATATATAAGTATTGAAGATATAAATAGCTTTTAAAATTGGAAATTTTCATTCAATGATATTCTCAGAGTCCAGCTGAATTCTATAATGATTTAACTATGGGGATCAGATCTAAAGTTCATCTTATTTCAATTCTTTATAATCCTTTGATTTCATGAGGGTCGTCGGATAAAGAAAATTGCTAGAAGTGGTGATTGATGATTCTTATCTGCTTCTTCCATAGTTTCAAATGTTCTTAATCTAATTAGATGATCCAGTTAAGGTTCATTCATTTATTACTCTTGCTGTTTAAGAGGAGTAGGTCCGAGATACTATGCTAATTAAATAAGACTAGGTATCTGATCGATTGTCTGCGTATGAATGGGTTTAGAAGATTGTCTTTGGATATTACTTTTATGTAGAATTCTTTAAATCTTTAAAAGGTATTAATCCTGTTAAGAACAAGAGTGAATGAATTTGTAGCTTAATTAAGAAAGTTCGATGTAAGCAACCAAATTTTGCCAGACTTGGATCTACCCATAGATTTGGATTTGCCTTATTTATAAGAGGTTGTTGAACTCGAAAACATCTTGCTCTTAGCAGATTAACTTCAGTATTTCTTAATTTAACCATCTTACTATGTGTCGTGCTAATTGATGACTAATTAGATACTCCTTAGAAAGTCTTGCATTCATATTCAATGATTTCAAAGTTCAATTCACCAAAAACAGCTGAAAACAAACAATTAAAAATACTTCGGACACAGCATTTTTGTTTTTTGTGTAATTTTTTTACTTTATTTTCTTCAAGATGCAAATCGCAAAGATTTTATCGTTTTTCGCTCTCTGAAATCCCTACATTGAGAATTTTCATGATACAATATGTATGTCGTGTTACTTTCTATAATATTCTTATGCTCATTATTCTTCCCTTTCGTGTTTTCAATACAATTTTTTTTTTAAGTTTAAGATTTAAAATAAGTGTTTTTGTTGTTTTTCATTTATTAAGGATTTTGATGGAAATTAGGGTGTTGCTGGGCTTGGCATTAATAAATCCGTTATTTACCGCTTACATTTTGAAAGATTTTAATTATTGTTATTGAATCTTAGAGTGTTTCATTCAATTTTTCGGGCTGCTCATTCAATTATTTTCTTAATCAACTATTTTATGACAAAAACAAGAAAAAATTTAGATAATTTTTTAAGGTATGCGCACTATGCACGAAAAAATTTAACCGGTGAATGTCGAGAGGAAGGTAAGGACAATTTGTTTAAGCTTAGCATCAACTTCTTCATTGATCTTTCCTTCTGATGCAATTGTGGCTAATAATGCCTTCTCGTTTGTCTTAATGTGAGCCAAGAATTCCTTTTCGAATGCTGTGATCTTAGATGGTTCCATCTTATCTAAATGTCCACGGACACCGCAGTAGATGACTGCAACTTGTTCCTCGATAGCCATTGGAACGTATTGGCCTTGTTTCAACAATTCAGTTAAACGAACACCACGATTCAAGAGTTGTTGGGTGGCAGCATCAAGATCTGAACCGAATTGGGCGAAGGCAGCGACTTCACGATATTGGGCAAGTTCCAATTTCATTGAACCAGCGACCTGTTAATTGACAACTTTTAGCTCTATATCTAAACTTTATAATACAACAATAATTCGTACCTGTTTCATGGCTCTTGTTTGAGCAGCTGATCCGACACGTGATACAGACAAACCGACGTTAATAGCTGGACGAATACCTTTGTAGAACAATTCAGTTTCCAAGAAAATTTGTCCATCAGTAATTGAAATGACATTGGTTGGAATGTAAGCTGATACATCACCAGCTTGTGTTTCGATGACTGGTAAGGCAGTTAAAGAGCCACCACCATGAGCAGGTGACATTTTGGCTGCACGTTCCAACAAACGACTGTGCAAGTAGAAAACATCACCGGGATAGGCTTCACGACCTGGTGGACGACGCAACAACAATGACATTTGACGGTAAGCGACAGCTTGTTTTGACAAGTCATCATAGATGATAAGTGCGTGCTTTCCATTGTCACGGAAATATTCACCCATAGCGCAACCAGAGTATGGTGCCAAGTATTGCAATGGTGCAGCGTCTGAAGCTGTAGCTGAGACAATAATGGTATAACCCATAGCACCGGAATCAGTCAAACGCTTTACAATCTGTGCGACTGTTGAACGCTTCTGACCGATAGCGACGTAAATACAGTACAATTTCTTTGACTCATCTTGTCCATCATTGAAACGCTTTTGGTTGATGATTGTATCAATAGCCAAAGCAGTTTTTCCAGTCTGTCTGTCTCCAATGATCAATTCACGTTGACCACGACCAATTGGGACCAATGAATCGACGGCTTTAATACCTGTTTGCATAGGCTCGCGTACAGAAACTCTTGGAATGATACCTGGAGCTTTGATTCCAACACGAAGACGTCCCTTTGTTTTAATTTCACCAAGTCCATCAATTGCATTACCTAAGGCATCAACAACACGTCCCAAAAGTTCATCACCGACTGGAACATCAACGATAGCTCCTGTACGCTTGACGATATCTCCTTCACGAATAAGCTTGTCATTACCGAAGACTACAACACCAACATTGTCAGGTTCCAAATTAAGAGCCATACCCTAAATTTATACAGAGAATAGAAAATTAGGAAGAGTGAAAAAAAAATTTATATTACATAAATCAACGATTTCACTTGGAAGTGATTTTTTTACCTTTAATCCAGATGAAAATTCCACCATCTCATCAGCTTGGATGTTCTTTAATCCATAGACACGAGCAATACCGTCACCGATGCTCAAGACACGTCCAGTTTCTTCCAAATCGGCTTTTGGTGCAGCTCCCATAATACGTTCTTCGAGGATTGAGCTGATTTCAGCTCCTTTTTTTGGTGCTGAAACATGAATTTTACGTGCAGCAATCTGTGTGGCTGGTAGTACAACACGAGCAACCTGTTTTCAGGATCATAAAGCAAGTGAAAATTAGAAAAAATTGAAAAAGTTAACCTTCAATTGATTATATAAGGCACAGCCCATTGCCTCCTCCTCAAATTTTCTTTCGTCCATAATGATTTTTTTGTCGGGGATTATTTATGCTCAATTTTTGAATATTTTCTACAATTTAATACTTCTAAAATGTTTAATTCTTATTCTAATTAGTCATAATTTGGGTTTTCATTATTGCCAGACATTAAAATCAAGTATTTGCAGCGAAAAAGTTAAATAATTGTTATGCAATTTTTCCATCTCATCGATGATAGCGAGTTGAGTTGGAAAAAAGCAAAAATTAATTAAATTTACGTACCTGTTGTGCTGATCTTGGAAGGTTACGGGCTACGGAAGCAGCCAAACGTGCAGATAACATCGACATCTCGGAATATTACTCTAATTATATCGAGAAATTAAACTTTTCTGCCTGATACTTTACGACGAGACTTTCGATGTGACTATTAGCTTCGATAATGAAAGTCTATGCTTCTGTATGCTATTTGTCCGGTTGTCCAATATTCGAAGTTACAAGATTTGAATCTTTTTTCAGTCGTTACAACTTGGAGTGTGTTTTGGACAAATTCATTCTTTTCTGTCTATTCTGTTGATGTTTTTAAACAGAAAATGTTGTAATATTCATTAGTAATTTTAAATTAAACACAAAATTAAGCTAGAAGCGTATAAAAATTCGTAAGAATCAGCATCAGTCAAAAAATATTTGAATTCTTGTTTCGCGCCAAAATAACTTTTCATATAATAGTTTTCGTAATTGCAATTTGAGCTAGTCTTATTAATCACTTAAGGTCCTTCATTGCCTTAGTTCCAGTAGTTGCAGATCATAAGCTAATAAGTTTCATACAAACACATCAAAGAAAGTTTATATTAAGGATATTTTAAAACAATAGTTAAGACTTCCTCGCCGTGATTAATGAAACTCAATTCTAGTTACAAAAAAATCGGTTAAAAACAACACAAAGAGACAAAAAGTATATTTTATTAATTAAACCATGATTAAGCCTTGTGTACGGTGTAAGAATCAACGGGGAGACAATGAATTGAGAGATATTCGTGGAAATGAACAAATTGAAGGACAAATCATCGCAAATTTCCCAGAAGTTCTTGAAATAGATGAAAATAATGTAAGTTCTAATATTTCTTTAATTAAATTAACAAAGAACAACAACAATTGTTTCATTTTTAGCCAATTGAGGTGTGTGTCAACTGCTTGAGAGAATTAAATGAGTTAAATAATAATCCTGAGCCAATCATAAGCAAGTCTCAAAATAGATCCAGAAACGTGTCAGCAACAAGTGATTCAGTAAACCTAGCTGTTGAAAGTGAGAGCATCCAAAATATTTCAACAGCACCATTAACTTCATCAGTAACAGGAAAGGTCGATATTCCTCCATCTATAGATCTTGATAAGCTTAAACAGCCGGGAGAAATTGAGAAGTTAATTCCAAACGATCGAAACATCCAGCAAAATGTGAGACGATTGTTATCACAAGCAATGCCAGCTGGAGCAAAGAAACGAAAGCTCCAAGAAATGCTAGAAAATGGACCTATTGAAAATGTCGAGAGTTCTCGACAGAGAAGTATTTCAAATTCACAGTCAAGGACTGCTATCGAGCAACGAAATGGACATGATTTTGCACAGGAAATGTTTAGAAATCTTGCAAATCGATCGACAAGAATCAATAGGACATACAGGAACGATACATCACATTCATCAAATGATTCTCAAAACAGTTTAACTCCTTTCAACGCCGTACCTGAAGTAATCCGAAATTTGAGTTCGCAAGCTGTTGTCAATCCATCTCAAGAAGTCACTCTGCCTCCTCAAACTCCAATAATAAGCAACAGGACACAACCATCTCAGCCTCAACAATCTCGATCTCAAGCAGTTTTTTATGAGCATGATTCATCATCGGAAGGTAATCGTTCAAGCGATAGTGAGCCAAGACGACGAGGCTCAAAAAGAATTGCATCCAGAAATCCGAGTGTGGCCAGTAGCGATAGTCAACCAGCACGGAAAAGTAGAGATGAGGCCGCACGAAAAAGTAGAGATGAACAAGCAGCACGGATAAATTCTGACAGACCAGGAATAAGACAAAGAAATGATGGAAATGACCACTCAAATTTAGCGGCACCAAGACGAATTAATGTAGATATTCCATCAGCAACACGTGTTCAACATTCTAGAAAAAATATGAATGGAGGATAGCTCCTTACTGCTTAATATTGCTGTTATTGGGTTCTTAGTACTGGAAATTTTGGTGGTGGTTTATTTATGTAGAGCCCAAATGCTTGTTATTTCTCATTTTAATTTTAAGCTACTTTAATGGAAAGTTAGTGCTTAATTATGCCAAAATAGCTGAATAAAGAAAGGAACCGAAAATGTGTTAAGCTTAAAATTCAAATTTTGTAACGCCTTTTTGAAATTCAAATTTCTATCGGTTTTGTAAAGTTTAAATTTATAACGGTTTTGTATCATTCAAGTTTTCAACGGTTTTGTAAAATTCATCGGTTTTTTGTATCGGTTTTGTAACATTCAAAATTCTATCAGTTTTGTATCATTCAAGTTTATAGCGGTTTTTTAAATTCAAATTTTTATCAGTTTTGTAAGATTCAAGTTTGGATCGGTTTTATAAAAAATTCAAGCTATTCACGCTTTTTTTTTCTCAATCTTAACTATTGGCTCGTCAACCATGGTCTGGATTAAGGCGTGGAAACTATCCCAAATATCTCATTTATCCCATATATCCCAAAAATATTCAAAATAATCCCTGAGCATGTATGCATTAGAATTGAGATATCCCAACATATCCTTAGTGTACTGAACGTGTTTTTTCAGGAAATGATGGGATATCTCAATTTTAATGCATACATGCTAAGGGATTATTTTCAATATTTTTGGGATATATGGGATAAATGAGATATTTGGGATAGTTTCCACGCCTTGGTCTGGATATATCGCGGATAGTCATTTGTGACAAAACTTTTATATTTTTTTATTTTTTTTCTTTATTGTTCTCTTATCATCTTAAACTTTTTTTGTTTGTTTCTCATTCTTATAATATTAAGCAAAACATAAGGAAAAAATTTAATAAAATTAATTTTCATTTTTTTGTATCGAAAGTTTTAAAACAAAAAAAAACTAATATTCTCTTCATTCATACTTAATCATTAAATTTCTTAAATTAATTAAACTTTTTTTTCATCTTATTTGCTTCTTGTTTTTTTGTAGAAAAAGGTAGGATTTACATGGGATAATTCGAATGCGGCTGATGATTCAGATTGTTTGGTGAATAGTCCGGTTGGGGTGATGACAATTGTTGTTGCTGGTGATTTATATAAGGATCCGGTACTTGTGGATAATAATAATAATTACTACCATTATACATTGATGGATCTGCTGGACTCTGATGAGCAGCTTGAAGATGAGTTGTAGGTGGTGGTGGTTGTTGTTGTTGTTGATTAAGGCAATTGTAATCAGTTTTATAATTATTATATGTATTATTGTACATTGCATGCTGCTGATTTGGATCATAGTAGTTCGACCAATCTGTCGCTGGCTGCATATGGTGATACTGATTGTAGTCCCATGCTTGTTGCTGATTCTGAAGGGATTTAAAGGATAGAGTTTGAGATTAGTTTGTGTATTATTGGGTTAGAAGCTGAGCTTGCTCCCATTAAATTATGCTAATCTTAGCAGATTAAAGTTAAATCCACGGATTAAAATTTAATCCGACTTGATTTACTTTAATCGAGATTTAATTTTTATTCCTAGATATTTGCTAAACTGAATATTAGATCATCAGCACGTGAGCTAATCTGCATTCATGTGAATTCTCGAAAGAAAAAGAAATCTATGCTAATTAAAGCAATTAGCCACACTTACCCATGAATCATATGACACTTGTTGAGCTGGTGGAGTCTGAATTTCGTACTTATTCGCATATTGTTCATTCACAGCATAATGAACATATTGACCATTATTGACAGGAGTACTACTCATAGGCGGCGTTGCTGCATAACTTTTTGTTGTATCCATCATTTCACTTCCGTAGCTTAAATGTGTTTGGTGATGCGCTTGCGGACTATTATGTCCTGTATGTTGTTGTTGAGGTGACATTTGATGATGTGGCTGTGCCTGTGCTTGATTCTGATTATTCCATACGCTTTGTTGTTGCTGTTGCGGAATGATATTCTGTGCTGGATGTGATGGCTGTATATTGCTTATTTCTTGTGAAATCGTATGTTGAGATTGATGAGTGGCTGTTTGCTGCTGAATGGCTTGTTGATAATTAAAATTATTATTACTTGCGATAGTATTATTGTTATTAATAGGTGAATTATTATTATTATTTATAGTATTAGCACTTGGAAGGTTTAGATTGCCATTAATTTCGGGTGTAGGCGGTGTTTCCGCTGACGATGATGTCGTAGCTGTACTGGTATTTGAATTTTCATGTTTCATTTGATTATGTCGTGCTTGATGCCATGAGCGCTTATACTTTTTCTGACAATGATCGCAATTAAACATTCGGACTTCATCTGGATTGCCGTTTTTGCCCTAATTTTAAAAATTATAAAGATCAATTAAATGAGTCTATTGAAAAATAATAGTTTATAGCCACAAACCATATGAACTTCCTTCTCGTGACGCGTGAGTCGATTTTTTGCTTTGAATGGCTTCTTACATGTCTGGCACTCAAATTCTCTCTAAAATGGACACAAAGAGTCGTTGTCATGACAACCGTCTAATAAGAATTTTTATAAAATTTACCTCAACTTCATGAACCGTTTTTATGTGTTGCTTAAGGTTTGGCGCACTCGAAAATACATTATTGCAGGTCTCACACCGATGCGTCTTTGTATTATCATTTTGATGCATCTTTTTGATATGCGAGTCTAGATTAGGCTTTGAGGCGAACACTTTAGTGCAGGATGTACAGGGAAACGTCTCGTCTACAAAAAGAAGTAGATTAATTAAATCTGAGAGTTTAAAATTAAATCCATGTGATTAAATGTTGTTATTCGCGTGCTGAACAAGATCCATACACTAACTCACCAGTTCTTCTGTGCAGACGACGAATATGTTGTGATAGAAGTAAATTAGACAAGAATTCGGACCCACAAATTTCACAAAGAAACTTTTCGTTCACATGTCCAGAATCCTGTTGATGCTTATAGAATAATTTCCAGTTTGTGAAGGATGACTGGCACGTTTTACACTTATATTTATTATCTTTCTCCTTAGTAACTACCGGCGTATCCTTATCTTCCGGTTTTTTCTCTAAATGTGATTTCTCGTGTTCATTAAATTGCTGGTTCCTCAAAAACGAATCACCGCATACTTTACATACAAATCTAAAACGAGACAATAGAAAAGTGTTAGTAAAATGTCATTGGATGTCTTTAAATATACAGCATACGGTCTTAAATCGATGTGCTTTAAATTATGTTCATAGATATTCTCAACAGATGAGCCACGATTCTCTCCACAGTGTACGCAATGTTCAGGATGGGTTTTGTGATGAGTAAAAAGAGATGTCTTCTTGCTGTATCTGTAAATGGATATTAATGTATAGACATTAGATGAAATTAACTCGACATTTTTTACTTAAATAAATATATCTTAAAATTATTTTCTTAAAGCAAACAAAAGATCCAGTAGAGGAAAAAAGCTGAAGGTCATGCACAGAAAAGTATATATAAATGATGGCAATTGGGGGGAAATAGAAGCGTAAATATTAAAAACTTACGATTTGCCACAAACGAGACATTTATAAGTTGGTTTAGGCTTCACAGCCACCTGCTTTGGTTCTATCGCTTTTGGTGCTTCTACTGTCGCTTTTAATTTATCGTCCGATTGTGCTGGCTGCTCAATTGTTGGGATGTTTGCATTTTCTTGTGAATCCATTTTTTTCAATTCTTTATTTCTCCTTGTTCTTTTAGAAAAAACACTAAATCAACAATATTAAGGCATAATTTCACTGGTTGTGAACGAGTTTAATCACTTTTGGTTGCTGATAATTAACGAGTTTGACTCGAATTATAATTTTTTGATTAAAATGATTTGAAAATATGAATTTTTTCTTTTATTGCACTGATTTAGCTGATGGGGTGTATTTTGACGACACGTCATGCCTCTTTTGTGCAATTTCCTGGATTCTTATTATACTTAAATTGCTTCTAGCTGCTCATTTTTACTGATTTTTGTAGTTAAAGATATTTCATTAAATATCTCGATTACAACGGATTTTTGAATTTCAAATAATATGCAATTACTTGAGCGGGAAATTTCAAAAATTTCAAATAATAACCGTTACATTTCTGTTAAATTTCTCATCAATTTTTCGTTTCATCTTGCCAATTTAATTAATTTTAAGTATGCCTTCATGTATGACTCATACGTACGTAAACTGTGAATATCCCACAGGGTCGAGTCATTTATGGTGGTACGAATTCGTTCAGTTTAAAAATTGACTGTTAAAAATAAATTTGAATTGACAAACTTTAATATTGAGGAACTGGACATTTTTAAAAAATCATGCAGCTTTCATACTGTAAATGATACTGGATTTATCGATTAGACGAAACTGCCGAAATTTCAAGGTAATTAAGTTAAAAGTTCCTTTCGTCTGGGTTCCAGTAGCTACTAAAGTGAAGTTGCACCCCAATTCAAATCTGAGTTTATCGGTATTTCTTACTCACCAATACAGACTTAAAAAATCACCAACACAAGAATAAAAGTGAAAAAAAGGAAAAAAACTTAATTAATTAAATAAAACAGCATAATTAGTCTACCTAATAATGCTAGCTGATAATAATCTAGATGAAGTAATAGAGGACACAGAAATGGACATGAGAAAAGAGATTTACGAGTGGAAAGACATCACATCTGAATTTTTCGATTCTGTAAGTTTTCATCCAAATAATTTTACTTCCTTTTTTGTTCACTGGATCTATTGTAAACAGGTGGAAGAGCTTGAATTAGGTGAACTACTTCATCATGAGATGTTTGGGCTATTTGAAGCAATGTCAGCTATCGAAATGATGGATAAGAAAATGGATATTGGAATGATTGATGAGAAGGAAAAGGCTCCGTTAACTTTTGAGGTAGCTGTAAAGGTAAGCAAGTTGTTATACCTTTAAATTGCAAACAATTTATTATTTTTTTGTTTTAAAGACTGGTCAATTGAAGCTGGATGATTTGCAGTGTGACGAGCTTATTGGAATTTATGATTCACTTTTTTCATGTCTAGTCTCGTGGCTTGAAGGACATTCGCCAGCACAGACTGTTTTTACTTGCCTGTATCTTCACGATACAACAGTTATTAATGATAAATATCTTGCGAGCTTCTGTAATGGAATTTTAAAGCTTACTGGAATCATCAGAAAGTTCATTACAAGCGCACGAGTGTACGAGGAAGAAGACTTTCAGCCAGCAATATACAATTTCAATTTATGTAGTGAACTGAGTGACCAAAAAGTAGTAGCAATGATGAAAGAGGCAGAAAATGACATCCAGAAGAAAATCAAATCAACTGATCCAGCAGACGAGTCTTATGAGAATCTTATGGCAGTATTTAACCGTATGAAATTTACTCGATTGCTTCTGCAATGTCTCTTATTGCTTTTTCCGACAAAATCATTTTCACCTAATGAAATGGAAATGTCTGAGATTTCAAAGTTACTGACAAATGCTGTTGAGCTAGTTCCGTTAATTAAAAAGACAATCTCGAAAGGAACTAAGCCTGATGATGAAAGTAAGATGAAGTTTGAACTGATTTTGTGGATTAAAACATTAAATCTTGTGGATTTATTTTTAATCCTGAGATTTATTTTTTTAATCCATTCCAAACTTTAATCTCGATTTAATCTAGATGATACACCGAATGTAATGGGTTTTTCACCGATGGTGAATCAGAGGCTGTTACCGCCAACATTTCCACGCTATACGAAGATAAAGGAACGATCCGGAACATACAATTATTTAGAAATACTCTCACAAAATCTTAAGCATGCATGCAAAATCATAAATTGCACAAACTACCAAATTGCATTAAACTTTTTCATGGAGTTTAGTAAAAAGTCTGGCTCATGTTTATTATCACGAAGTGTTTTGCAAGTTTTATATTTACCCGTTCCAAATAAAGTGTTCGGAGCAACGAACCTCACAGACGTCCTGAAAGATTCTCTGAAAGCTTTCATTGCGCCTGCAGTGTTGATGCCTAAAAATCCATTGTACAATAATCCTCAGGTAATGCACAACAGATAAATAGAATTTTTTTTTTGACATGCTTCTCATCTCTAACTACAGGCCAAAGAATGTGTTGATTCATTCTTCTTCTACAATGAACATACGTTCGTTATGTTCCTTGAAATTTGTGGCTTTAATCGTGCCCGACAACGTGATAAGATTGCAAGGCTTTTGGATAATTTTGCAAGCTTGCAAGATGAGGTAATGTTATGAAATATTTATAAGCATGAAAAGCAGGAAGATTATAAACAGATATGTATATCCTATTCATGTCCTCTAGGCTGAACGTGTTGATACATTTTTGGATAAGCAACTGAATGGCGAAACTTCAGTGGGAACATGTCGTACAAGCTTTGGAACATGGGTTTTGTACTATTGTCTTCGTGCAATGTCATTATTTTTAATATCCGGCTTAGAATTGGAGCTGTATAGCGTACATGAATACTTGTATGTGTTTTGGTGAGTTTTTCTATTCAAACTTATAGAACTTTAATTAAAATTTCATAAGACTATCTCTATCCTTGTATTTACCCAAACAGGTACTTGTATGAATTTCTATTTGGTTGGATTGTGTCCGCACTTACACGTGCTGATTCCTTTTTACTCGAACAAGAATGCATAAGTGAGCAATTCAAGAATCTATCGAAAGGACAAAAGAAATCGAAATTGAAGAAGAAGAAAATGAAACCATATGGACGTGAATTGATGTTTACACAGGCATTACAAAATGTTTGCGGTGGTTATTATAAAGCACTTGCAGGATTTCATAAAGCAAATAGAATACCACAACCTCTCGCTGAGTTTGATCTTGAACAAATACGTTATGAGCATCGTTTCGCACCGTTTGCTGAGTTATCGACTCCACCTGCGATTGGATATAACGACTTTTGTTCACAAAAGTGGGCACTGCTCAAATTGACACAAGAAGAATTGTTCTTATCGGCTGCGAAACATTTTCATCAAGCTAGAACAATTTTGGAGCACATTTCGAATCTTGATGCTGAAGTAAGTTCCAATTTTTTTTTTAATTAAACAAATTTTAATCTCTCATTTATTCTCTCCCGCTGCTATGCTGTATATCTATGATGACTAAAAAACATAAAATTTAATTTCCTTATTTTTCCTTTTTATTGCTTTCGTACAGATGACAGACATCCTCAAAATTGCTAAAATTAATTTCGTCGTAATGAATTTGCTGGCAAATGGACACAAAAAGGACTCACCAGTTCCACCAGAATTTGATTTTTCATCACATAAATGTTTTCCTATAATTAAGCAACAATGAATTAATTACTCAGTCAACTCTTCAGTTTTTATAGAATATTAGTCAACTGAAATAAATTTAACAATGATAAAAAAATAATAATTGTGAATATTTCGAAAGTTTGTTGTAATTGATTCAATCAGGTTAGAGCTACTTAACAGTAAAGTTTTATCTTGGCAACTAAAACAGGATCAAAAAAGAAGTTATGTACAATAATAGCATTTATTCCGAATTTAATGGATGGGATCCGAACCCACTTTCTTTGACTTGAAGTTACATGCTCATACCTTTGAGCAATCAACTGCTACTAAAGCAAATGACTAAACGACGTCCATATTTAACTAGCTTTTCTATTCCTCACGATTATCAGTAATTCATAGCTTTCTATTCATCCTTCTGTACAAAAAACCTTGAATTCCAAAACTCGGCGTTAAACCACAAACAATTTATACCAAAAATGTGTTAAGCAATCAAATAAAGCTGATAAAAGAGTTAACTGCTTACTGTCACATGAAATAAACAAAATTAATGACAAATTGCGTGACTTCGTAAGCAATAAATCGAATTAAAGAACTAGAACGATAATAGACATGCAACCAACACTTAGAAATAGCTATAAAAGTCCGGCAAACATTTGATATTCCAAAGAATCAACAGATTTCCATCACAATCGCAGGTTAAGCCTCACCTCAGTTGAATCGACAGCATAAATTTTAATTCCTCAAAAATCCTCTTAAAATATTTTTTTACATCCACTTAAATAATCATCAGAGTATGAAAGAAACTTTCAATTTGAATTGGCTTTCTTTTTAATAATCTCACCCTCACACTACAAAAACCTGTAGAGTAGGCAAAGTAAACACCTGTTAAGGAAAGTAGCTGATGATGATTAATTATTCATAAAAATTACTTTTAATTGTTTAACGCTCATTTTTTTGCCCATTTCGTATTCTTATTATTTGTTTCAATGTTAATTGCCATTAGTTCTGGCACCACGCCTCAATTGGTAAGCTAGAAGGTAAATTAAAGTAAAAACACGTAAGTTTGAAAGCTTTTATGGAAGCTCTTGCATTTTCAGTAATTAGTTGTTATTTTAGTGGTTTGTAGACCATTAAGTCTGTTAATCGATCAGAAATCCGGTACCATGCCAGCATCGAGCCAGCTTGGTTCTGGATTTATATTCGATTAACCGACTTGTGCTTTTTGGGATTGAATCTCATCGGTTAAAAAACCAATTTAATAAAGAATTTTCTGCAGTCAAAAGCTCGTAGCTTACTTCTTTTACTTGAATCAATTTCCTGAATGCATCCATCACTATGAAAACCATCCTTCCATCAAACAATGCATTCAACTAGTAATTATCTTTGAAATTTTTTTTTACATCAACAGCTTTCCATTGTTCTCTTCAAGAGCTTGAAAAGTGCTCGAGATTATTTCACGATAAAGTGCTATAATATCGGGATTTATGAGAAGCACTGAGAGTTTCAGTAATCAAGTGCTGTTCATCTTCAAAATTAAAATGCCTTAGTAAAATTCAAATTATTCAAAAATATAAGCTAAAATTTTGGCAAATCATTATTAAAGGTTGAACTGACACGAAAGTTTATAAAAATGCCATTTTAATTAATTGAGGCTCAATTCATCAATTACCTCAATCTAGAAATCCCTAAAATGCAGCTACCCTAATATGCAGATAGTACTGCCAAGATGCAGATGGTACTGCTAAAGTGGAGATGAAATTTATTTTCCCTAAAATGCAGATGAAATGCTGTTGCTTTAAAAAAGGTATAATGCAGATGATTTTTATCGTATAAAGTGCAGATAAGATGCTGCCCAAATGTAGATCGTATAATTTTATTAAAATACATCATATTCGATGACTTTTTTTTCTTGATACGTGTTAATAAAAAAAAAAAATTCCATACAAATTTTCACCTTCAAGTGATTTAAAATCCCAAAACAAATCCCCATACAAAATGATTTAAATCATAAATCAAAAATAAATCACTTCAGAAAGATGATTTAAATCCCCTCCATGCTAATTACATCAAAATTTCGTGTAGCAAAGTAATTTAAAGTCATAAAGTTTGCAATGTATTCAAAAATGCATTTTTGTTTTCCTGAACTAGTTTAACATCAACTAGTGTATCGGGTAGAAACCGAATGCGGATATATTCGCACCGTACCATCAAAAGTCTTGTGGAAAGACCAAGCTTAGCTCAGTATTAATTTGAAAGTATAAATCTTTACGAACCATATGTTTGGAGGTTTAAAGCTTAACGAGCATTCTTTAAAGTTTTTTAAGAACATTTTTCATCCAAAGTTTAATTTTATAAAAATCACAGTAAACTTTTGTTTTAAAAAATTCGTAAGAAAGGAAAGTTTTTTGCTTTTTCTGAAGCAACGGCTGTTCCTACCTTGCCCAAAAACAATACAGCTCTTCTATAAAGCAGCACGGATCAAATGTAAAAAACTAGAAGTCTCTACAATGTCTCGTTATTGAGATTTCTTGCTGATTAACTTGCTTGCTTGCTTGCTTGTTTGCTTGCTTGATTGCTTACAGAAAGCGTATTTTGCGATTTTCTCAGCAATGCCACAACCAATTTGAAATCTGTTTTTAAAAAGGATGTAAAATTTCAGGCACAAACTTTACTTCTGAGACTTTTTATAACCAATTTTGCTTCGTTTTCTCACAAAATGCGAAAAACTGATGTTTCCATCTGAACAAAATCAATAGATTCACCCGTGAAAACGGTGTGAATTTAAAACATACATTTGTAGATATATCAATGAAAGCTGACAAAGTTTTAACCAAAATTCACAAAACATATTCGTGAGTGACGCTTAATTAAATTGATTTTCTGACATAACGCCTTAACTTTAGGAAGTAAGTTCAATGTCAAAAGAAAGCAATTTTTATTTTTTACAAGATATAATAACTTTGAAATTTGTCACTATTGTGGTTTCGGAGATATTTAAGAAACCAAAGCGTCACTCACGAATAATTTTTTTGTTCGTCGGGGCCCAAAAAATTAATATCCAATGTTAAATTATCTACATTATAACAGCATTTATATCTACATTATAAACATCTTTATTTTAATAAAATTATACGATCTACATTTGGGCAGCATCTCACTATGGGCCAGAAATGGAAAATTTTTCCAAAAATTATTTCTACAGCTTATATGATAGTTCTTATTATGCCCTACATTTACGTCCTTAAAACTTTGCTCAAGTCGACAGCATGTCCGAGATATGGCACTTCAAAGTTGGTCAGACGACCATTTTCACGTTACATTGAAAATGCTCTCACCAGATACTGGATAGATGAATCTCCTTCAAATTTTTTTTGTTAATAGCTTTAAATAGTTACTTTGTTTTAAGATATAAACAATTGCAAATAACTTTGAAAAATTTTGTGAAAAACTAGATTTTTCTCAAAAACCACGTGTTCGTCATACTTTCGTTTGTGTAGGTCTTCACAAGCACAACCAAAGTTACTAATTTCTTTTTTATATTAAAGATTACATCAAAAGCTATAACTTTTGCATACATGTCGTATAATTTTAACAAAGTTTTGATAGTGAAAAAAAAATTTTTTATAAAAAAAACAACAATTTTTTGACAAAAATCGCTGTAGTGCTTCAGGGATACCCATGGTAGTAGAATTTTATTTCACATTTAGAAAGCTCTCTAGATATGCTATCAATTAATGCAATAAAATGAACAAGTGTTCTCTTGGCAAAGAGCACTTTTTTGACTCTGAAAGTCGTATGTCGAGCAAGGTCAAAAAAGAAAAATAATCATAAAAATTTCAGTTTTAAATAAAATTTAATTTTTTTAATTTAGATTGATAGATCTTTTTAAAACGCGTCTTTTGAGTATAAATATGTTATAGTTTTGTCAAGTTTCGTGATCATTTTTTTAAAAAAATAGTTTTTTTCAAAAAAAAAATTGAAAAATAAAGTATTTGACTTTAGAATTTTATAAAATGCATCTTTTTGTCATTTTTTTCACTACTTTGTCTAGTTTTGCTCCTAGTTTTTTTCCTAAACATAAATCAATAAGAACTTAGCATAATTGAAGCCATTTGGAGGTTAAATTGAGTTAAAAATCGTTTAAAATTTTTGTATTTCTCAAATAGTTCTTTACACAAGTATCTAAGATATAAAGTGTTGCATAGTTTTGAAAAGGTATTGAAATTTCCAATATGTTAACATGAAAAGTTTAGGAAAATTTTCAAGTAATATAGTCAATTTGGGTAAAAAACGCATTTTATATATGCTAGTTTTTAATGTTTTTCGTTTTTCTCAGCAAAGACTTTATGAAAAACTCTCAAAGTTTGCACTTTTATTTGTTATATAAATGTTAATGACTCGTAAAAGTTTTGGAATTTTCCATTGAGTTTTTCATTAGTTCTCCTAATCTGAAATTTTCACTATTAAATTTTCGTTTTTCTCAACAATTGCGATTTTTTATTTATAAATAAATATCTTATTTTGTTTCATTTTTCAATATCTTTTCATTGATATGTAACAATCTACAAAAAAATTAAGACTAAAGAGAAATGAATAAAAAAGTGTCAAAAATGTATGAAAATTCTACGCTATTTTAATTTTTTAAGCCTTTTATGGTTAATTTTACTAAGTTTTATAAGAGTGTTATACCTTTTTTTGCAAATGTATAGCGAGACAAAAGACAGTTCCATATGAAGAAAACCAGATATTAGTTTTAATGCTATTTAAGCTATAATATTAAGCTTTTTCATTTACTTTTGTTATAAATGTTTCATGTAATTAATAACAGCCTGAAGATATAATTTAAAGCTTTTAAATAATTTAATTTTAATAAATTCAAAATTTTTGGTTGTCGCCAACTTGAAGCTTATTTGACTTCAGTTGTGCTTAGCGTAGACTCATACGAATTTTGGTGGATGAACGTCTTAAGCTATACATTTGCAAAAAAAGGTATAACACTCTTATAAAACTTAGTAAAATTAACCATAAAAGGCTTAAAAA